TACTGTTCTGAATACTGGCACCATTTCCACAGGCGGGGGTGACAACAGCTGATATCTCACTCCTGAGGGTAACTGAGGATGCAAAGGTGCAGCTCCTGCAGGCGTGCGGATGCACACTGGGTCCTTACGCTGCTCGCCTGTGTGCTGCTCTGGTGCCTGCAGAAGTAATTGCTGATTGGTACAGCAAAGTTTCTTATGACGGGGGAAGAAACAGGGCAGCCCTCCCAAGAAACCTTGGGCAGAGGATTGCTGATTACCTCCAGGGAAGTTTCTTAGAGATCTCTATGGAGGATTCCCGGGATATCCTAGTGTGCATAAACTAACTTTTTCCACAGGGGCCCCTCTGTCTAGATGCAGAGAGGAATGAGCAGCAGATATAAACTGTTACCGTTTTTTTCAATCCCTCTTCTACCCCAATTAAAAAGCAGAACATTGCCACGTCTCCCCGCAATACTGAAGCACAATGAGTACTTACTGGAGCTTCCCTCTCCTACCTCAGGCAAGTCAAAACTGGAGTGCTGGGACTGGCTAGACCCCTCGGGAGTTAAAAAAAAAAAAAAAAAAGGCCTGATTTGTCACACCACCGGATGTCCCTGTCCCCATCTTCCTCTAGCTCCACTTCCTCATGCACTACTCTGTTCTTGAGGTTCACACCACTGGTCACTGTCTCCAGTCCCCCCTAAGTATCCACAGGGCTCTTGGCAGTGGAGGGGGAGCTGCTGCCGCGGATGGCATGCAGCTCCATGTAGAAACTGCATACGTTTGGCGCTGCACCAGAGCAACTATTGGCCGCTCTTGCCTTCTGGGACACCTGCCTCAGCGCCTTGATTTTTGCCCAGCACTGCTGCATGTCCCTATCGTATCCCTTCTCCTCCATGCCACAATCCATTTGCCCATAGGTATCAAAGTTCCTGCGGCTAGAGCAGAACTGTGACTGCACAGCCTCCTCTCCCCACCGACGCCGCAGATCCACCACCTCCAGTGTACTCCAGGCAGGGGCGTGTTTGCTGTGGGGAGCCAGGATGGTCAGCTCGGCCGGTTCTGTGTGAGCTCTCCATGCCGAGCAAACTGGAAGAACAATTTCAAAAATGTCCAGGGCTTTAAAAGGGAAGGGGCACATGCCTGTGTACCTGGCTGCAGAACAGCAGAGCTCAAACCAGTGACCAGAGCAGTCACACTGGGCATTGTGGGACACCTCCTGGAGACCACTTAGGACAACATAAGCAATGCCGTGTTTATACTGACACTGCATCACTCTATGTCACCCTAACAGCTATGCCTCTCGTTGAGGTGGTTTTCAGATGTCGGCGTGGCAGGAGAGTTAAACTGGTGGGAGGAGCATTGCAGTGTGTACACCTCTACTGGTAGGTCGATGTAAGCTGCCTTATGTCAACTTAACTCGTAGTGTAGACAAGCCCTTAGAGCAGAAGAGGAGACTGGCAGCAGCAGAGCATTCACGAATGATAAGGAATTCTCAGTGGGACCACAGAAGGAGAGCTACAATGGGAAGCAAAGACTCAGAGCCCTTCAAGGAACTGTGGAAGGAAAATGGGATGATGGTTGGAGTGCGACAGAACATACCCAAAGGATGTCTCAACCTGATTTTATTGTTAAATACCCGTAAGGTTTCTGTACCAAGGAGATGCTCTCATTCCAAAATGGTGACTTGGCTCTCAGCCATTTGACGCTTGATCAACGTCAGCCAAATCCACACAGATCCTCTGCCCACCCACCTGACTTAAACTGTACTCAAAACATCAGAATTTAAGATTCTCCTGAAACCAGATAGGAATCCAAGCCCACAACTTGACAACAGTCATACAGACTTTAAACGTGGGGCACTTCCTCAGGAAACTCTGCAAGTTTTTGTGTTCTCGATTAGCAATGGGGCCAGGTTAGTTAGGCAGGTGACTACTATTTCCCCTATCCCCTCCAGAGAAGCAGATTCGTTGTGTTTCACAAGCTGCAATAATTTCTCTTTTGCAACTAACTAGACCCAAACGTTAGACAAAAATCAAATTGAGGGACACAACGATGGGGGGAAAAAAAAAAGCATAGGAAGCTTAAAATAAGGTATCTAAGCGGGGGGGCTTGTTTTTTAAACTAAAAATTTCCTACCATTCTTGCCACCAATTCAGCTTCAGTGATATTTGTAGCTACACAAACATTAGCATGGACAAGTCTCCAGGCAGCAGCTGGCGTTTTATGTACCACGCTACTTCAACTCTTCACTCAGCGCAGATCTGAGAGACACAGGGCTTAACATGCTGGTATGCACCACTGCATTGGTGCTATGCTAGTGTTCCCACGCACATTGGCACTGGAGGAGTGAAACATCATCGCAACGGAAGGACATTTTAAAGAGAAATAAGCCTATTGTAGATGTCAAAGCACATATTTTCAGGTGAATTTATACTCCAATGAGAAAGTGAGGTTTGCCTGGGATGGAAGAAACCTCCTGATACTCAAGTGACAACTGAGAGAGATGTTTGGAAGGCTGCCAGCCAGTTTATCATCTCCAGGAGCAGTTTGTTTGGCAGCTGCTCGCTTTAGGTACATATGTGGCCTTCACCACCATAATATCCGAGTTCGCCTGTGTTGTCATGGTTTCACATCACCCCTCAAAGCCAAAAGCACTGTCACGAGGCTGTGCTGGAACTGGCAACAGGCTTTTCAGGTTGTGCTGCTAGCTCCTTACTTGTAGCCATCTGAGCTCACTCCATCAAACTGTGACGGGATCACTGCAGTTATGCTTTTTTGTGCTTTATGGCTCTGGCAACTTGATTTTCAAGTCTGGGATCGCTGTATCCACACATGGCTTTTACCTCCTATTCTCTTTTTTTATTATTTCAAACTGGATGATAAACCCCCACTGCTGGCCCTAGGAACAGATAAACTCACAACATGATGGAAGACAACACACTGCAGAATCAGGGTGTTACTGTCAAGTTATGGAGATTCTGCAGTACAAATGAGCGAGTGCATATTAGTTGCTACCAATACCGCAAATCTGAGGCACGCAGCACAGCTTTGGTTAAACAAACAATGCATTTATTTAGCAACCTGCACAAAAAGTTCGTATCCGTCCTTTTAAATATATTTATTTGTAAAAGATCAAAAAGAAAACCCAGAAAAAGACGTATCACTATACCCAAACAATGTTTGCTGTTAACAAAATGGTTATGTGCAGTACCCATTTACAGAACAGCATTAAATTCTTATTTGAAATGTTGGAGGGTTTCAAGCTTTTATTTTTCCATTTTCCAAGACAGGCGTGCAGGGGAGAATCTTCAGAACACAGGATCATCATCATTATGGAAAGAACAGCAACCAATGTATGGGAAACAAGGAATAACTTAAAAACAAAACCCACATTATTGTACATTAATCACTCTGGAATATTCTGTTACCTGGCACAACTCTCAAGATCGTACGTAGAAGGCAAAGAACAGAAGTTCATTTAATGCAATCGAAACAATAACCTAATGTGGGTTTCATCAGTGCCAGTGAGATGGGACATCCAGACAAATACCACGCCATATTCGAGAGCACACAAACTCTTTAAAGGGCCAATGTAAGCTTTCTCCGTAAACTGAGAAGGCCTTGAATCAAATATAGGTTAAAAATGGCATATATACGCTCTAAATGAGCAAGGGCTAGTTTCTCAGGACATACTAGTTTTTGGGTGTCGAGCGGTCTTAGAAGATGTGTCAGACCGGCTGACCATCTTGTATCACATTGATCTGCTGTCAGTGCTTAGAATTTGAAACTCTTCTCCTGCTTCTCCCCACACTCTTATCTTAAACCAGCATATAAACATGAACTAATTTGCAAAATCATTTCCTCACTATCACCACGCCCTGAGCTAGGAGGTTACTAAAGGAAACCTTCAACTTCCATAGGATATACCAATCAGCCAGCAAAACAACGCTGATGGGTCACAACTGCCTAAAGAGGAGAATGCAAATGTAACCTGAAGAGCCCCAAACAGGCCACAGAAGGTCTATGCACAAAGAGAAACTTTTCTATGTTCACTACTGTTGCCTTACACCCGCAATAGAGCATTCCTGTAGCACCTTGGCATGGAATGCAATAATTCTAGTCCTCATGAGACTTTCAGCTCATCACACTGTCTTGAGTGTGATTTCTTGGAGCTCAGGACCTGAGCCCAGAATTGCTGTCCTAAGGAATTCATCATCAGCTGCAGCCAATCCATCCATTTTCACAAATATAATCCTAAACCTTTGTTCACAGTTCCAACTGACCCCTTTTCTTGGGGAGAGATTCACTTCAATTTGAGATACAGAAACAAAAGGGTTTTGGTCTTCTCCCCAGGGGTTCAAGGAAAAAAAGCAACTTAATGTGCTTTTAACGGGAAGCTCAGCTGAGTTCTATTTAATGGTGAACAGAACAAGTATTTTTCATTAAAAAGATAATCCAAGAATTTGCTGTTGAGATTAAAAATGCTGAATAATGTTAGAAAACCCAAACCAAAGTATTAATGGAGTTATAAAAACAAGGTTTAAATGAGGGATCTGGGTGTGAAGTTGAAGTGCTGAGAGCTTGGGATAATCACCATCCATCCAATCAGCTACCTGACTTGTGATCACTTGCTAATCCAGAGTACCCCAAACTGTGGGGCGCGCCGGAAAGTTCCGGGAGGCTGCAGCGGGGCCTGGGCCAGCCTCCATAGGAGGGAGCGCCACCCAGCTCCACCCCACACCCAGATGCTGGTCCACACCGCAGCTCTGCTCCTGACCCAGGGCCAAGACTGGGGACAAGAGTGGAACAGCACTGTGGGCTCAGCTGCAGGCTGCAGCCCCCCACCATGGCCTGGGCTGGGTCTCCACCCCTGCTCTCAGCCTCGGCCCCTCGCCATGGCTCTGTTCCCAGCCCCGCTCCCTGCCCAGATCCACCCTTAGCTGTGGTCTCTTTACCCCTGTCCCTCCCACCCCTGTGCTGGGAGCCGTGGAAGGTTGATGGGATAAGGCGGGCGCGACCCTGAAAAGTTTGGGGACCACTGTGCTAGTGGGATTCACTGGTTAAACACTAGACGTTACATAGAAAATGGAAGCATAACTCCTTTATTTTATTTTTTTCATTTTTCTCCTTTTTTCCAGGTAGCACTACAAAGACATTCAAATATTAAAGCCACATTACAGGCCGTCCTTTAAACACACATAAAATAACCAAATGAACCGTGTCAAGTGACCCTAGAACACAACATTGTCAAAATCAAAGTTCTTTTAAAAAAAAAATGCCATTGGGCAACCAATTGAGAAACCCTCCACATAGAAACAGGTTGATCCAATCACTACTGGCTGCCCAACGCTAGGCTATCAGCTTTCCCAGATGGGCCTGCTGGCTGTACACCAAGTGCTGAGACCAAGCCCTTCACCCCCGTTTCTGTCAGTGCAGCTAGGACACCCTTCATTTGCTCAGCAGCAGTAGATTTTATGGAATGGTAGCCCAAACAAGCAGAGCTATCAAAGCCTGAACTTTTCTATTTCCGAGAGGTGCTGCTGAGAAATGCCTGGCTTTAAAAATAGACTAGATGTTAAACTGTGCAGATTTAAAAAAAACAACAACAACAACAACAACAAAAAGCAGCTTTTCCCTGTGTGAGTCCTGGCCACCTCTCTTTAGAAGGCACTCATTGGTATGCAGAGAATCTCTGTGGTTAGTGATTATACTGTCATGTAACAGGTATTAGAAAGTTAGCACTCTGGCCCTATTCTTAGCACCACCACTTCAGACTGTTTAGAGTAGCACTTACCCCTACTCATAGTGTCACCTCTACTGGAACATATTTTTTGCTTTCCCGGAAGAGAAAAAATTATGCAAAGTTGCAAACCACAATACCAAACAGGAGAAACCGTTCCAGTTTTTCCCCCTCTTTTTTTTGTTTTAGACAGCATGTTTTACAGGGGTGTTTTTAAGTACACTGTGCTGTGTCTAATGGAGAACTATAAATCCAAGGGAATTAAACATTTCAGACTCTGTCATTTCTACTGCCAACTGTCATTTATAAGTTGGCTGGTTTGCCAAAAATGGCTCTGAGCAAGCAGCTTATGTACCTCTTTACAATGCAGCACCCACTTCACTGCCCCAAAGTGGGAGCGCACAAAGTGCAAGATCCCCTTCCAAAAAAAAAAAAAAAAAAAAAAAATCAAATCAAACTTGTCAATTTCAGACAGACACTCCAGATCCAGCAAGAAACTGCCTCCAATTTCAGGCTGGACATCTAAAGTGAACAAGGATACAACTTTTTAAAGATACAAACCCAATAAACTTGTGTTTTTCTTTACGTCATGGGACATATTTAAAGCTTAAAAGAAATACCAGAGTTTAAAAAAAGTGCCTGCCTCAATCTACCTATTTTGCTGTGGGGAGGGTTTCTTTTGGAGTGGAGGGAGAGCGGGGGGGCGGCGCACAGGAAGGGAACGTAATAGAGGGAGAGGGACTGTTGCCATAATCAACTTTACTCTTATGGAATGATGCAATTTCTGTAATGATTTAAGCACAATTTAAAACAAATCTACAGTACGTTATTTCAAGGGGAAAAACACTAAAATTGCCAAATGTCATAGACTAAACAGCAACTCATATTTATATATAAAAACTTAAAGTCATGTGAACATTATCTCAGCAAATGCTACAACAGTGGTTAGGCATCATCATCTTCCTCTTTTTTGTCCTTCTTCCCGTCGCCCTCGCCCTCAGCTGTCTCACTGGTGTCTCGTCTCCTTTTTCTGTTACGTGCATTAAGTCTATTTTTAGGAGGTGGCAAAGGGTCCATTCCAAGTACTTTGTGTATCTGCCTGAAAGCTAGCATCCTTAAAGCATGCTAGAGGAGGAAGGAGAAGAAACATTAAGGATGGTACCATTGTCAGGACAGTAGTAGGCATGACATGGCTGATACTACATAGCCTACAGTATCTTCTGTGTACAGCAGCCTTTATAGTCACACACTGCAGGCTGGAGTTTAAAGTTAATGACAACGTGTTCTAAATATCAAGTACAGATACAAAAATATAAAGGACCTTATTACAAAGCTGCTGAGAGCTCATAACTTCAATTAAAATCAGTGAAAGCTGAGCTAGTCAGTTCCTCTGAAAAATCAGGCCTAAAAATGTTTGTCCTGAACCAAAACTTGCTGAAGTCAATGCAAATCTTTACAATAGTTTCTAGCTCTTAAAAAGACTGTTCCCAAAGCCCAATGAAGAGCTAGAAACTACTGTAATTTGTTTAGTACAAGAAACAGCGTACAAATAGCAGCAGTCTTCTCACATCCCACACTGATCCATCCTGGAATGATCTCCTGCCTGCTATACCGACAGAAGTGATTCTAACTCCCCCAATCCTTTAGTCCTAGACATCTTTTTTAGGTACTCTCATTATTCACTGGGGTCTAAGTAGAAAATGCTATACAGAGTCCACATAGGAATATTTAATCTAAAGTCTTGAGTTTAATACAAGCCAGAAAGGTGAAAGTTCTATATTTAACTGGTAAGCCTACCAAGGTTGTTCTACACACAGGCAATACTTAGCTCAGAAACAGAGATCAGTGTGAATTCCTAAATCAAATATCTAACTTCAGCCTACTGCTCTGGAGATGTCAGGCAATATTACATACACTAAAAGCATTTTTAATTTTTTCTACCATGCAGTGGCTGGCTTGCAATAAGATTTTATTTTAAAATTGCATTACATTGCCTGCCAACACCCTAAGAATCTTTGACTGATAATAATACCACCATTGCTTACGTGGCCAGCAGGAGCAGATTTTAGATACTGCGATCAAAAAATGCAGCGCACAGCTTGCCTCTCCACATAAAATCTGATTCAACTGGCAGTTTTTGATGCCGGTGGACGTAAAGAACTACCACACTATTCATTAAGAAAATTAATAGTATTATAAAGAAATATGGTTGTGAACATTTTTTACAGTATTAACTTAAAGAACACATGGACTTATATTTGATTTTTTTTTTACTTCACCTTTTACACTAACCACTAAAGATGGCTAACAAGATTAGAGAAAAATATTTTTTTCATTGCGTTTACTTTTTGACAATTCTGTGTTTTCTAGTCCATTTCACTGGTTTTCCCTATAGTCAGTTTCCCCTTGTTTTTATGTATTTACCCCTTAAATCCCTTCAAGCCACACGGGAGAGAAAACGGTTTTGAAAATACGACTAAAAAATGGGTAGAGAGACTTGGGGGGCAAATGCAATTCTGAAACTGACTTAACTCTCTTTAAAGGCAACTTTACTCTTCAATGTGAGGTATTTTTCACATTGATGAATTTCTTTATTTTTAAAGAAGTGTGTAAATTAGGTGCAGCTTTCAGGGTCAGAGTTGTTAACATGGCTTTTGGGGTCACAAACACATACAATCGCAAACCAGAGGTTGTCCCTTACCATGGGTGCTGTAGCTGTTTTCAAAACCTTAACTGGAAAGGATAGAGTAACCTCAAATACCGATGTATACCAGATGCTTCACTTTACAGAATGCTTCTACTAAAGTTTCCTTCTCAATGCTATTAGAAATAACTGTCTTATCTACCTGTGCACTGGCTGTAATATCCTCTCGTTCCTGACTGGTCATAGTCTCTAGAGCATCCATTTCATCTTTCTCACAGGGATCTTGTAGCCCAGGTCCATCTGAATGCAAGGGGAAGAAGGAACCACAACTCTAAAACTCACTATGATCAGGGTTTAAGAAAAAGACGTTTAAAAAAATCACACTTTCCTAACGTACAGTGTTAGTTACAGTACCACTGACATTGCTTTTCACTAGTTATGCTGTTTGGTTACTTTTTTGCACTTCACTCAAGGAACAAGGAAACCTCACTAGTCAGTTTCAATTCTGCATTCTCAGGGACTGGCATAGAATGCTGAAGTGCTTGGGTTTTATATTTTTTTTAAATATTGCTTTGAAGTTTTAATGAGAGCAATATTATTAATGCACACACAAGTGTTGGGCCTAAACTATCCGAATCTCTTTAAGCACTTCAAAATAAAAAATAATCAACGCCTTCCCTTCAATCAAAAAGGCACATACAACACATCTGCCACTTTCTGAAAGCAGAGCTACCAATACCATTGAGTCCCAGAATCAGTGCTGCGGACAGAGTTTATTTCAACAGCCATACTTTAACACAGGGGTCGGCAACCTTTCAGTAGTGCTGTGCCGAGTCTTCATTTATTCACTCTAATTTAAGGTTTCGCGTGCCAGTCAAACATTTTAACGTTTTTAGAAGGTCTCTTTCTATAAGTCTATAATATAACTAAACTATTGTTGTATGTAAAGGAAATAAGGTTTTTAAAATGTTTAAGAAGCTTCATTTAAAATTAAATTAAAACGCAGAGCCCCCTGGAGGCCAGGACCTGGGCAGTGAGAGTGCCACTGAAAATCAGCACATGTGCCGCCTTCGGCACACGTGCCATAGGTTGCCTACCCCTGCTTTAACATCTGTTCAGTGGGAAACCATCACAAAATGTAGCATGTACTGCGGGATGACAATAAGGATGGCCCAATCCACCATTTCAAAGATTTAGTGGAGCAACATTACAGATATTAGTTTAGAACTGACCCATCAAGAGTGTTCCTGTGGCTACACATTCAAGAACTCGGCGCATGGCATCTCCAGGACTTAGCGGACTTGTTGCACTACTTAAAGCCTTTTCTACAAGAAGTTCCATTGCCTGCAGGAAGGACAAAATCAGGGTTGACTTTTTAAATGAGGAAATGAAGCTAAAATACAGTTTCTTAAAAATATAAGCAATGGTGTATCCTCCACAAAAGGCGTGCAGCCTCTGCAGAAGGCAAAGAATCCTTTTTTTAGGGCTGTGTCTTGCTTTTTAGTTCCTTGAAACTAGACTCAAGATACTGCTAAGGCAACCTTGTAAAACCATCACGAACATCTAAGCTCCTGCAAAAAACCCTTCTCGTCTACTTGTGCTAGGACAATAATACTGAAAACATTTTACTTGCTTGTCAACAAAAATTACTTGGCTGAGAGAATGGACCAATAGAACTTTGCAAGGCTGAGCTCAAGAGAATTCACAACTCAGTTCAGAGTTGGCTACTAACTTATTTCTAAAAACTCTCTTTAGCAAGTCACATAATAGAATTCTGCACCTAGAGGATTTACAGCAGTCTGGTCACTTTCTTAGGAAAATTAGGACTGACCAAAGGATTTGGACCACTGTATGCTACATGGGACCATTTAGACCGGCTCCTCTATGGTTTCTTTGGGCATTTATTAGTTGACAATAGCCCTGCTATTTATTGGCGCTTTTCTAAAAATGTTAAAGTTTATCATCACTTGTTTATTAAATTATTTTGTAAACCTACAGGCGTCTACCAGTGAAACCCGTCACCTTTTATCCAGCTTTCCTATTATGTTTATATGATTTTAATACTACATTAGAAAGTTTTGTCCAATCATCATCAGTAGTATTACAGTTGCACTAGAAGTTCCCAATCAAGATCCCATTGTACTAGACATTGTATACACACAGTAAGACAGTTCTGGGCACATGGTACTTACAATCTTCCAGCCGCGGTAAGAGCTGGAAGAGAAGGGGTAGCAAGGTAAAGAAAGCAAACGTGCTTCCCTCTCAAGAAGCCAATTCATCCCCCTACCACAGGTTAACTGCACATGTGCAGAAAGAGGAAGGGGTAGAAAGAGGGGACTATTGTATAAGTAAGTACCAGTGGGGCCTCTCTCCAAAGGTTAGATTCATTTCTTCAGCCAAATATAATGAAAGCAAGTCCCTCAACTGCTCCTAAACCAGCAGCACAAAGGCAACAAAGGCAGATGAACAAGACCAACACCATAATTGACACCAGGGTTCAATTACACTGGAGGGATAAAATGTGTTCCTAGTATTTATTGAGGCAATCCACAAGTTAGACTAATGCAGTAGCTAGTATGGGAGAAGGTTTTCTAAGTATGTATGGTTTACAATAAATAAAATCCAACTAGCTTCCCCAGTTGTTTAAGACTCTCGGAAGTAGACAGACTACTCTCTACAGAGTATTTATATGCTTAATATGAATAGGACTCCTGGAAGCCTTGTGAGAGGAGAGAGTTCCAGGTATGCATGGAGCACGTAACCCACTGTATGGACACAACATTTGTGTCCATATAGCATAGTGGATTTAGAGCTCAGCTGTGTTAGGAGTTTGTATGTTAAACACATATCTGACTCCGTATACAGTGTCTACAGTCATGCTGGTGTGGCTGTTCACATTCTGAGGAAAGGGACCTCCTCTCTCAGAGCTCTAGCTAAATCATACTGCTTATGTGGCCTGCAGACATGGGCTGTGGCACCACACTTGTTATAGCCAAGTATGAAGTTGAAAATCTGAGATGACTGCAGATATGCACTAATTATTTTTAAACTGTCACATTCTCCACCCCCGCAAGAGGAACTGGAATTGAATAACTACATAAATTTGCTTTGGTGAAGAGGCTATGGAGGATGGATTCCCTATTGCTGAGCAGCAGTCTTCTTGTTAGTCTATAGAAAAGGGAAGGTAAATGTAGACCATGCTCTGGGACCTACTGAGGTCAGTAGGCTTTGTCACTGACGTCAACAGATTCAGCCCTATATATCCAATGTACTTGTGTGGTTAGCTTATCTTTTACTTCATTTCAATGTCCCTGATAATCATCACTGTTGCTAAAAGCGTGTCTTACATGATAGCAATCAAAGGAAGGGTGTCACAGAAAAGGCTTCGGTCTTCTTACCCAATCTGGAAGTGCCCCCCATGTTGGTACACGCTGGCAAAGATCTCGCAGAACCCTGATGATAATCACACATGACTGCAAACCGTTAGCTCTAGCCTTTATGGAAATAAAGGAGACTGTTTGCTAACAGAAAATATCTAAGACAATAAAAACCTAAGTCATACAAGCAGCAAAACAAAACTCATTAAAAGTATCTTAGAGTCTGAAGAAAATATTCTCCTTATCTGAATATTAAACCATTTGACTTCACATGGAGCAAAGTTTCCACTATGTACTACTCCATGTAAAAAATGCAATGGGGCACTGGCATTCTAAAAAAATGCTGAGGTAGAACACAAAACCAAAAGGGATAAAGAAACTCGGTTTACCCTAACCAAAAGAAGGCTGAGGGGGGATATGATTGCTCTCTTTAAATATATCAGAGGGATAAATACCAGGGAGGGAGAGGAATTATTTCAGCTCAGTACTAATGTGGACACGAGAACAAATGGATATAAACTGGCCGTCGGGAAGTTTAGGCTTGAAATTAGACGACGGTTTCTAACCATCAGAGGAGTGAAGTTCTGGAACAGCCTTCCGAAAGAAACAGTGGGGGCGAAAGACCTCTCTGGCTTTAAGATTAAGCTTGATAAGTTTATGGAGGGGATGGTTTGATGGGATAACGTGATTTTAGTCAATAGGCCAATAACGTGCCATCGCAGGTAATTAGTATCAATGGTCAATGCGGGTCTGGCTGGAGAATCTTGCCCACATGCTCAGGTTTCTGCTGATCGCCATATTTGGGGTCGGGAAGGAATTTTCCTCCAGGGTAGATTGGCAGAGGCCCTGGAGGTTTTTCGCCTTCCTCCGCAGCATGGGGCAGGGGTCGCTTGCTGGAGGATTCTCTGCGACTTGAAGTCTTTAAATCATGATTTGGGGACTTCAACAGCTGAGTCAAGGGAGAGAATTATTCCAGGAGTGGGTGGGTCAGCTTTTGTGGCCTGCATCATGTGGGAGGTCAGACTAGATGATCATAATGGTCCCTTCTGACCTTAAAGTCTATGAGTCTAACTAACCTATCTAGTTAAAAGAAGGCTACACCAATTGTGTTCAACATTTTGAGCACTCTCAGGGTAAGCAACATTATTTGTGGAGTCAGTGCTAGCAAAAGGCGTTAGATTGGCAGCTCTGAATACTCAAATCCTCTACTTATCCACAAAGCAGGTAAAGAATGATCAGAACTGGGCAGGCTTCACTTTTCCACTAGCCAATGGATCGCAAGCGTCCTGGAGAGACCAACGGCCATGTTGTCTTTAAGGATCTATTCAGCTCTTGCTTTTCTGTTGGGGTTGCTGCACAGTGCTAATTATGGTGGTGGATTTTATAAGTATTTCTTAAACAACTAGAGAGACAAGGTGGGGTAGTATCTTTTATTGGACCAACTTCCATTGATGAGAGAGACACGCTTGCAAGCTGACACAGAGCTCTTTTTCAGATGTGGGAAAAGTACACAAGTGTCACAGCTAAATACAAGGTTTGTTTAGCATAAGGAATTAATATGTTGTAAGAAACCACTCAAGATGAATTGGAAATTAACACCTCTGCAGTCAAAGGACAAAGGAAGATCAGTGGGTCTTAAACAATCGTCAGTTGTACTTGAAAGTTTAGGGTTTAAAAGGGCATTTCTAAGCCAGGTGGTGAGGGTGACATCTAAAAGGATCCTCTCAGATCCATTTACTGACAGAAGTTGACATACACAGCCTTCTCTAGCCTGCCAGAATAAAGATAAAATATTTTGCTTCAGCAGGATTTATTTTCACCAAAACCCAACGAAAAACAGGAACGGGCTCATTTCTATTCTAGAAATATTCCTATTTTAAGTTACTGTGCTGTGGAGAGGATGAGTTGGAATGTGTACACAAGAATTTTGGGGTCATTATACAGAAGATGCCCCCAATAGCATCAGTTACACTTTGAATAAACATGGTCAGCTCTGCAGCACAAAACTGTGCCTCCTTCCCCCTCCCGCCCTCTCCTTCTACCAGATTAGCAAATCAATGGGAAACTGCACAACACATCTCAGTGCTTAGAAAAGCTCTTTACCTGGAACCATTTAGCATGACGAAGGGCAGCCAATGACTCTAGGCATTTCTGTTGACTCAAAATATCACAGGGGTCAGGCTGAGATTCTGCTGCTGCTTCTAAGAGGAAAGAAATATATGAATTTCTCTTTGCACCATTTACTTACAAAGCTTTCGCGACCAAGAGTTGCTGTGAAAGACCATAACACAAGCATAACTTTTTGTTACTAATAGTTATCAAACTAGCATACTGTTGTTTCTAAATCATATCCACAGACTGAAGCCCAACTGCATTGTGATTAGAGATCATTGTCTCCTCCATCAAAAGCAAGCAGTCTTTTTCAAATGAGAATGTGTTTCTGAAAGCATTGAGAGCAGCACAAAAATCTCTATTAGCAAATTACAGCAATTAGGTCTGCAGATTTATAAAGTTAAGTCTCGAATACAACTAACTCCATCCATATTCTGCCTCCCCATTCAGGAAGGTGAAGGGAAAAAGCAGCACAGGAGTTTTAGGAGGATTTCGGCCTTCTGATTTTGTCACTTTGAAAGTATTCTGACAGTAGTAACCAAATCAACAAATCAAAATATCTGCTCAGTCACCATGGTTATTTCATTTTGAAATTATTACCTATTTAGTACATCAAACCTTTCACACACAAAATAATTTTAAACCATCAATGATTTACTCACCTTCGTCAGCAGAAGCATCCTCTCTCATGAGAGGAGATGTGACTGAAATTGTGACCTGCATTTTTGGTTCCTTGCATGAACAGATGAGTATACTTGCTTCCTCAGCACCGGATGAAACTTCATACTCATCTTCAGTTAACGTCTAGAAAGTTAAAAGAACAAAACTTCACTTGTTTCACCTTCAAGTTCATGTGCCAGCATTATCTCTACACCCCACTATTTAAAAAAAACTTATTTGGTGAATTTTTTGTTCAAGAAAGAAATTGACTAATATAGTTTAAAAGCTAGGAATGATGTAGCATCAGTTTCAATTACATTAGTAGAAAAAATGGGTGAGGTAATATCTTTTATAGGATCAACTCCTGTTGAAAGAAGGCACAAGCTTTTGAGCTATACAGAGCTCTTCCTCCGGTCTGGAGAAGGTAGACAGAGTGTCTGAGCTAAATACAAGGTGGGACAGGTTGTTAAGCATAAGAGGTTCACACATGCAGTATAAGACCACTTTAAATGAAGTGGGCAATTCAAGGTTAGGAGGCAGTAGGGTGTGCTACAAATTGTTGTAATACACCATAAAACCAGTGTGTGTGTTAAGTCTATAATTTTTTGTGTCCAATAGAGTTATGAATTTAAGTTCCCAGGCTTGTCTTTTGAAGGTATTATGCGGGTTTCCTTTGAGGATGAGGACAGAGGTCAGACATGGACACATCTGTATCCTGAAAGAAATCTTCCCCAAACTCCCTCTTCTGACTTTCAAACAACACCCCAACCTTACCAATCTTTTCATCAGAAGCAAGCTCCGACCAGACCAAGACACACCAACTCAAAGCAGCACCAGTTCCTGCCAGAACAGGTGCAAAACATGCAGACATATCTCCACTGATACCATGATCAGTACCTCCCACAATACAACTTTCAAGATCTATGGATCCTACACATGCTTATCACATCAGGTGGTGTACCTCATCCAGTGCATCAAATGCCACAACTACTATGTGGGTGAAACCAGACAATCACTACGCTCTCAAATGAAACCATGCAGAAAAATGATAGCGACAGACCACCACACCAGCTATGGGCGAGCACTTTTCACAAAGTGCTCACTCCATGTCTGACCTCAGTCCTTGTCCTCAAAGGAATCCCACATAACGTCTTCAAGGGACATGCCCGGGAGCTTAAATTCATAACTCTGCTGGACACTAAAAACCATGAATTAACAAAGACACTGGTTTCATGGTTTATTATAGTAATTTGTAACACACTCTGCTGCCTGCTAACCTTTAATTGCCCAATTCCTTAAACTGCTGTTTCCTACAGCATATGTGAACCTCTTATGCTTAATAATCTGTCTCACCTTGTATTTAGCTCAGACACACTGTCTACCTTCTCCAGACCTGAGGAAGAGCTGTGTATAGCTTGAAATCTAGTCCCTTCCACTAACAGAAGTTGGTCCAATAAAAAAATATCACCTATCTTGTCTCTCATATATCCTGGGACCAGCACGCCAGCTACAACCCTACAAACATATATAATAGGCAGCATACCCTTTTTTTGCAGTAGGCCCTTACTGGCCAGGCTCTCTCATAGCCCTACCAGTGCACCTCAAACTTGATATGCAACTCTGTCATTCTAGTCCTCAGACTTTCCTGAGCAGATTGTCCCATCATGCAAATTATGCTGAACTGTATTAGCTTTGTGATGTAAGAGGCTGTAAGGACTGAACTAAGACATCCAAAACAAGTGCAGCGTGCCACTATGCTACCTACTACTATAATGGAAATTGACATTTTGAGATGGAATGCAGAAAAAACCCAGCACACGTTCCGTTACAATGCCTATTGCTAAGCGCAGGAACTGTATTTTCTATTTTGTTTTGTACATAGCCTAGGATATTGTTAATCTTCAATAAGCAGTACTGGATTATTCTATGCTGTAGGTATCCTTTTTCCTGACAACTAGCAAAGGAGAAACAGTCATTAGAAATCAGAAACAAAGAAGGAGGATCCACTCTTACTGAAAGCTGCTTGGGCAGCTGCTCTGTGATGTTCTTTAAGAGGGTGTGTGTAGGTTTCTGGGCAGAGAGTAGGATAAGATGAACATTCCTGTCTCCTTGGAGCAGAAGCCCTTTTGCCAGAATGCCAACTCGCATTACACCTTTCAGAATTCGGGGTGCAGTTTCTGCTTTCCTGTTGAGGAGAGAAGTCGTGGGAAAACATCAAACAGAGCTATCTACATTGAATCTGAGCCTTAAAATCTATCACAGGGAGCCCCAAAATATCTGAAAAGCAGAACTAAAAGGCAATTAACAATATTGCTCCTGAAGTAAATTGCTGCACTGTATTTGTTAAAACAGAAAGACACTGAAATCTCCATGCAATTCTTTGGTTCTGCTGCAGCACAAATTCATTGAAGCAACTTTAGTGGTAGGTCCACTATGAGTTACATGTTTGCCTTTTGATTGTAATTTTGAAACCTTTAACTTAAATCTAAATACAAGAACTCTCCAGTACTCTTATTTAAAATATGACATTGAAATAGCGTAAAGATTTCACTACCACCCCATGTCTAACTGTTCAGAGGGGAGACTATTTTTGTTTTACTACTTTTGAAGTGACTATTAAGTGCCAAGTGGTGTCACAGCTGTGGACAGCTGGAACATTTTCTGCAGGAATTGGACATTACTATAACCCTTTTTAATCTAGCTTCAACCAGTGCTACAGGACAGAAAACAGAATTTAAAGCCACTAAGTAAGGAAGCCAATTCTGTATGTATCGCAAGCTCTGCGATCTCTACCCTCACTAATGTTTAGGCAAACAAAATATAGATGCACAAATGAGAGTGAGGAGAGGATTCCTTTTTGCCATTTTTAAACTCTCATTTTGCTGATGTGGCCTCTTTACCCATCCCCTTCGACAGACTCTGCAGCTATTGTGGAATGATGACTTCCCCAGCACTCCAAAAGTGTCAACCTCATCTTGCCACAATACTGCAGCAACTACCTATGTAAAGAGTCTATGCAAGTTTGTTACCCCCTCTCTTCATCATCTTCTTCTCTGTCAGATTCTTGCTCTGTCAATGAATCAGAGACGAGCTTAAGAGCACGTTCAGAATGGGAGACGACCTTCTGGATGGCCTGCAGCTCCTCTTCTGTTGGGTAGATGCTAGAGTGCTTTGTCATGATGTGACGGTCATCAGAAGAGTCGGGACGTCTAGTAGGCTGAGAGACAGAAAATAACAAACTTTACTACCATCTGGGGGCTGAGAAGAATTAAAAACGGTTACCTACCTTTCATAACTGTTGTTCTTCGAGATGTGTTGCTCAGGTCCATTCCATTCTAGGTGTGCGCGCGCCTACGTGTGCAGTCAGAGGAGATTTTTGCCTTAACGGTATCCATAGGGCCGGCTGTGGTGCCCCCTAGAGTGCCGCGCTCATGCCGCTGTATATCAGGCACCACCAGCCCTGCGCCGTCTCAGTTCCTTCTTGCCGACATTCTGACAGAGGGGCAGGAGGGCGGGTAATGGAATGGACATGAGCAACACATCTTGAAGAACAACAGTTACGAAAGGTAGGTAACCGTTTTTTCTTCTTCTTCGAGTGCTTGCTCATGTCGATTCCATTCTAGGTGACTCACAAGCAGTATCAATAGAGGTGGGCCCAGAGTTCACCGTCATGCAGCTTGTAGCACAGCTCTGCTGAAGCCAGCGAGATTCTGAGCTTACTGGGTCAACGCACAGTGTGAAGCGAATGTGCGGACAGATGACCAGGTCACAGCCAGACAGATCTCCTGGATCGGCACCTGAGCAAGGAAGGCTGCCAAAGACGCCTGCGCCCTAATCGAGCGAGCCATCACTATCGGCGGCGGGGGGCATGTTCCTTAGCTAGTAGCAGTAGCGGATACAGGCCGTGATCCACAATGATATTCTTTGGGGAGACACAGGGCAACCTTTCATCCTGTCTGCAATTGCCACAAACAGCTGCGTAGACTTACAGAACAGCTTCATTCTGTCTATGTAGAAGGCCAGAGCGCGTTTGACATCCAGGGTATGCAAACTGCGTTCCTCATCTGTCTCGTGGAGCTTAGGACAGAGGACCAGCAAGCATATGTCTTGACCAATATGGAACTAGGAGACGACCTTGGACAGAAAGGCCGGGTGCAGACGCAGCTGAACCTTGTCCTTATAGAAGGCCACGTAAGGTGGTTCAGATGTTAGCACTCTGATTTCGGACACTCGACAGGCTGAAGTTATGGCGACTAGGAAGGAAACCTTCCAGGAGAGAAGCAGGAGAGAGCAGGAAGCTAGAGGCTTGAAGGGGGGACCCATGAGCGGTGACAGCACAAGATTCAGGTCCCAAGGGGGTACTGGATCCCGAACATGTGGGTAGAGGCACTCCAGGCCCTTCAGAAACTGTGCCGTCATAGGGTGGGCGAAGACCGACCTGCCTTGAAATGGAGAATGGAACGCCAAAATGGCCACCAGGTGCACCTTGACCGAAGACAGCGACAGGCCCTAGAGCGTTAGGTGCAGCAGATAGACCAGGATGTCCTGCAGTGGGGCCTCCTCCACACAGATGTGACAATCCGAGGCCCAACACGCAAATTGCTTCCACTTAGTCACATAGGTAGCTCGGGTGGAAGGCTTCCTGCTGCCCAGCAGGACTTGCTGGCCACCGGCGGAACACAGGGTTTAAAAGAGAACTAGATAAATTCATGGAGGTTAAGTTTGTTAATGGCTATTAGCCAGGATGGGTAAGGCATGGTGTCCCTAGCCTCTGTTTGTCAGAGGGTGGAGATGGATGGCAGGAGAGAGATCACTTGATCATTACCTGTTACGTTCACTCCCTCTGGGGCACCTGGCATTGGCCACTGACAGTAGACAGGATACTGGGCTGGATGGACCTTTGGTCTGACCCAGTATGGACATTCTTATGTTCTTAAGTTTCTTATGAGCTCGCCCAGGTGGGCTCCCCATCCCAGATGCGAAGCATTCAAGATCAGGGTGAGCAATGGGGTCAGGGACGCAAAGGGAACTCCTTGGAGCACCAACTTGGGGTCCCGCCACCAGGCCAATGACAGCAGGATATGGACTGTTACTGTGACTACTCGGTCTAGGAGGTGCCTGCTGAGAATGTAAACCACGGACAGCCACGTTTGCAGAGGCCTCATATGAAGAAGGGCATGGCTGACCACGTATGTGCATGTGTCCCAACAGTCACAGACACAGGTGGGCTGTAGTGAGCGGGTGGGCTTGCATGTGGGGGATTAAGCCCGCTATGGCCTGAAAACGTGTTTCGGGATGGAAGGCCCTGGCTCATGTGGAGTCGAGGACCGCTCCGATAAACTCTATGCATTGGACTGGCGTTAACGTGGACTTTTCTGCGTTTATCAACAGCCCCAGGTCGCTGCAGGTGGAACGCACCAGATCGAAGCTCCTTTGTACCTGCCCTTGATGAGCCAGTCATTGAGATACAAAAAGATCTGGACACACACACCCCGGCGACGCCTGAGGTAAGCCGCCACTGGCACCATGCATTTCGCTAACACCCTGGGGGCCGAGGACAGGCCAAAAGGTAGGAACGTGAACTGAAAGTGCTGCCCGGCCACAATGAAGCACAGGAACCGTCTGTGTCCCAGGAATATGGAGACATGGAAGTATGCATCCTTTAAGTCGAGAGTGTGTACCAGTCCCCTGGATGCAGGGAAGAGATGATGGAGGCCAGGGAGACCATGCGGAACTTCAACTTCTTGAGTGACTTCTTGAGGCCAGGCAGGTCCAGGATGGGTCTGAGGCCCACTTTGGACTTTGGGATTAGGAAGTAACAAGAGTAGAAGCCTCTTCTTTCCATGTCCTGAGGAACCTCCTCCACAGCCCCCAAGCCCAGGAACTTCTTGACCTCCTGAACGAGGAGATGCTCATGAGAAGGGTCCCTGAAGAGGGATGGGGAAAAGGGGGGGACAGGGAAGAACGGGGGCAGGAAGGCAAGTTGACCAAGAATTGCAGGGTATAGCCCCCAGCGATTATGTCCAGGACCCAGTGGTCCGAAGTAACCCTGGACCATGCCAAACAATAAGGGGAGAGGAGGTCAAGAAAAGGGTGGGAAGGATCCAGACAGATGGCTGGTGCGTCGCTCCCAGGCACACCCTCAAAATGAGTGCTTCTGACCTCCTTGGTGCTTCACCGGGCCAGGCTGTGCAGGGGAGTGGGACAACAAGTGGCAGCGGCGGCTAAACCCGGTGTCCTGCTTTCTTGTAGGTCCATGATGAGGCTGCCACTGTCGTGGAGGTGGTGGAGGTTGGAATGGCTGTCTCGACACCTGAGGAGTATGCCTCCTCAGAGAGCGGAGAGTCACCCGTGTGTCCTTAAGGCCGTACAGCTGCGTGTACGTCTGGTCAGAGAACAGACCTACACCATCAAATGGGAGGTCCTGAATAAAGGCCTGCATCTCCTGGGACAGGCCCGCGGTCTGGAGCCAGGAACTGCGCCTCATAACCACCGCCTAGGCAACCACCCGGGCAGCTGAATCGGCCGCAACCCAGGTCATTTGGAGGGAGCACCAAGCCGCCACGGTGCCTTCCTCCACCAGAGTTGCAAACTCCTGGGCCACCTCCTGGGGCATGAAGTCTTTGAACTTGAGTAGGGAGTCCCATAAGTTAAAATTGTAATGGCCCCAGAGGGTGTGGTGGTCCGCCACCCGAAACTGGAGGCTGGCTATAGAATAAATCTTGCGACCAAACAAGTCCAACCTCTTAGCATCTTTATTTTTAGGGGTGGAACTGGTGGGGCCCTGCTTATCTTTCTCGTTGGCCATTGACATGACCAACGATCCCGGTGGCGGGTGGTTGTATAAGTACTTGAACCCTTTCACAGGGACGAAGTACTATTTCTCCGCTCTTTTAGACGTGGACAGAATAGAGGACGAGTTTGCCAGATGGACTTGGCAATGTCCAGGAGCCCCTCATGTACCTGGAGTGCGACCTGGGCTGGGGTGGCCACCAAAAGCACATTGAACAATGTGTCCGCCTGCTCCTCCATCTCCTCTGCCTTGAGGCCCAAGTTCAAAGCCACCCTACGGAGCAGCACCTGATGCTCCTTAAAATCGCCCGGTGCGCTAACTCTGGAGGGGCCTGTCCCCCCTTTTCCCCATCCCTCTTCAGGGACCCTCATGAGCATCTCCTCGTTCAGGAGGTCAAGAAGTTCCTGGGCAAGGGGCTGAACTGTGCCTCCAATCCAGAGAAGTCGTCGCCCTCCAGTGACCATGGCCAGGCCTAGGTCTGGCGGCTACCAACGACCAGTGCTGGGAGCGTTCCGATCGTGTCGGGGAGCGGCCTCGAGGTCTCGGCGACCAACGGCGTGACTCGGACCGGTACCAGGGAGATCGTCTATGCTTGGGAGAGCTCTGGCGTGAAGATGGGGACTGGGAACATGGTACCGATGCTTGGTAATGACGGGTCAGAGACCTGGGCCGCAGAGACCAAGAATGTGGCAACCTAGGGCTCTGCCTTGGCTCTGGAGACCAGTGGCGCTCGCTCGACTTGTGTGAGGCCTTACTGGCGGGCTTGCCCTTTCGGGGAGCCTTAGCTAATTCCATCACCGAACGCAGAGCCGGCTGTGGTGGGAGCTCTCTTGGCTCTGCAGGCGCCAAGAGCTGAGCGGGCATCGACTGCACTGTCAGCTTGGACCCTGTACCCCTCCCCAGAGTCGGTGGCAGGTCTTTTTGAAGGGAAGAACTCCCCAAGGCAGAGCCCTTGTGTAGGTCCGGAGTGGGCATAAGGCCTGAACAGGGTCCTTTGCCCACCGCGCTTTTGCCGGGAGGAGTCCGGTGCCAGAGGTGCGCTATGCACTGAGGCCGAAGCGCTGAGTGCCATTTGGGGCCGAGCTGGCTCAGAAACTGGGTGCAGGGCCGCCTGCATCAGGAGGCCCCTCAGACGTATGTTGCGTTCCCTCTGTGTCCGAGGATGAAAGTTCTTGCAGATGCGACAATGCTCCTTCATGTGGAACTCCCCAAGGCACTGTAGACAACCATCGTGAGGGTCACTAACAGGCATAGGCCTGTTACATGGGGAGCAGGGCTTAAAACCCAGAGAACGGGGCATGCCCCACCCGGGGCAAAGTCCCCACTGGGACCCACACTAACTGAACACTTAACAGCTACTTATCTACTAAAAAACAATAGAACTATTTACAACAAGGCTAAAACAGGAAAGGAACTGATGGCCACTTGCGAAGCAAGGGACAGAGGCGCTCTGACTGACCACCACAGGCAGTAAGAAAGAACTGGGAGGGTGCAGGGCCGGCGACGCCTGATATACCACGGCATAAGCGCAGCACTCCAGGAGGCGCCACAGCAAAAAATGTAAGGCAAAAATCTCCGATGGCCGCGCACATGGGCACGCCCACACCTAGAATGGAATTGACATGAGCAAGCACTCAAAGAATGAAAAAAATTCTTAGCAATGCCATCACTAGTAGACATCCTATACACGCTCATAACTACATGAACAGATGCAGAAGACTATGTGAAAACAATTAAAGCAAAGAAATTCCAGCAAGCAACTGGAATTTTGTCAAGTCTCAAAGGGTCAGGCTAGAAAAGCAGTAGGGAAAAACTTAGCTGCTGCAGAAAGTGAGGCTCAATAGGCGGTGTTCTTCCCTCTGAATTAGTATTGCACTAATGCTCCGTCACAGCATTTCGGGTTGCTGGATTCCAGGAGGTGAAGTTTTGTAAATCAGACTTTAAAAGCTAATATCCTGACCACATGTAATGAATCCACAGCACCATCTGTGCCCTGTGGCCAGATCAAATTCCAATTTAGGTAGTTACATTCTCCCTCCCTCAATTACCTCTGTAATTTCAACAGGATAAGATATTTTTCACTTCCTATCCTGAAGTGTTGTGCAGCATTGTTATGCACTGAACAGTTGTCATGTTCCAACCTAGAGGAGGGTATGTTTCAATGCTGCGCAAGATAACTAATATGAGTGCTACATCAGTGAATTTGTAAAAGTAGGGGGATTTGAAGATTCATTTGGATGAAAGGCTCGACGCAGTTGCAGGATGATTAGTATATGGCACAGGAGCAGGACCAAGACATTAGTAGAGGGAGCTTAAATTTATACTAACAAGTGATTTTCCAAGTTCTCCAGCTGCAGCGGTTAATGAGCAATCTCATGCGTTTTCCTAGCCAGCTTTCTCAAGTTATGCTGTATTCACATTGACTATAAAGACCTCCCAATCCCAGCAGTGAGTATAGAACCAATCACTAATCAGATCCCCACATGTGGCACTCTGTAAAAATCTTTTTTTAAAAATATATCAGGTGGCTTGGCACAGAGTGACACCATACCTCATACCTAGAGGTTTGGCCCAGTCAGTATAGACAGATTAGTCTAAGAAGATTCAGTGAGAGCTGTAAATAAGCCTCCCAGGTTCCAGTGATTAAGATAAATAAGGTTCCATGAGAGGTGCACTAATATAGACGCAACCTTAAAAAGCAAAGGAATAGTATGGTTAAATGGAAGTGGTCACTGAGGGCAGGAAAAAGAGCATCTATTGTGGTGGAAAGGCCAGTCTAGAGCTATAAGCTTATGTTTACAACAAAACCCCCCATTTACTAAAGCCTGCCTCAGAGAATCAAACAAAAAGGAATCTGACCTCCAGGTCAGACTGCCTGAAAAATGCTAGTTAAATGGTTTGAAAAGGACTAGGAAAGTATAAGAAGAAAATGCAGCTCACTGTACAGGGGTTTTGTATGTGACAACCATCACTTTAGTAACCTGCACATAAACGGGACATGTGTAAACGTACAGACAGATTACATTACAAAGTATTTAGCAAGGCTGGCTAGTAATTTTTCTAATTTAAAAAGTGAATTTTCACACATGCATATTTTATCTCCTGCTACTGTAATGCACCACCCACTCAAGTCCAGGTAGGGCACTGCCATATGGAATTCTTGCAGCAGATCTCAAGTGGGGGTGTGTGCGCACATGCGCAATCACGTGGTGATCTCTTGCCCTAATATAAAATAAGGATTTTAAAAGAAAGGGTGAGTGTCTGGGTGCAGGGCACAAATGGGTGGAGGGGAAGATACGCAGAATGTAGGTATGATAAAAATTGAAGAGGAGTAAGAATTTAGGCATAGGGGGTTAAGAGGACACAACTAGTTTGGAGAAGAGAAGACTGAGAGGGGACATGATAGCAGTTTTCAGGTATCTAAGGGGGTGTCATATGGAGGAGGGAGAAAACTTGTTCACCTTAGCCTCTAAGGATAGAACAAGAAGCAATGGGCTTAAACTGCAGCAAGGGAGGTCTAGGTTGGACATTAGGAAAAAGTTCCTAACTGTCAGGGTGGTTAAACACTGGAATAAATTGCCTAGGGAGGTTGTGGAATCTCCATCTCTGGAGATATTTAAGAGTAGGTTAGATAAATGTCTATCAGGGATGATCTAGACAGTATTTGGTCCTGCCATGCGGGCAGGAGACTGGACTCGATGACCTCTCGAGGTCCCTTCCAGTCCTAGAATCTATGAATCTATAAACTGTTTTCAAGTGGCATTTTGTTGCTGAACATAAGGACAGGGCAGGCAAATCGTACCCTTCGGGCTGCATAGTATAAACAACAAGTTAGTAATCTGAAGTTTATATGTTTACCCTGCCAAGCAGTCCAACATTTCAAACATGCATTTGTCGAAAATGCTGCAACCAACTAAAAGAGTTAATCTGTGTCCATTACCAATTCCAAATTCTGGTGATGGGTTTTCAGGAGACCCATAAGATTAATCCTGCAGTACTCAAAAAATACACAAGGGAACACACATTCTAGCCTTGAAACAGAGTTTAAAGATGCCAGACTTTCACATTTCTCCTTCCAGGAACTGAATCAAGGGTTACCCACCAAGAGAGGAGGAACTGGCATGCCAGGTCTGCCCATAAGTGGGGGTGGATGCCAGTCTGCAGCCATCCGACGCCGCTGCTCTTCCCAGTATAACTGCTCTTCCTCTACCCGCCGCCAGTACATTTCCTCTTCATAGCGCCTGATTGGAAAGAGATTTTTTTAAAAAGGTGGTACAGTTACATCAAGCAAAGATGAACTGCATTAGAATCATAGAATCTTGGGGTTGGAAGAGACCTCAGGCGGTCATCTAGTCCAATCCCCTGCTCAAAGCAGGACCAACACCAACTAAATCATCCCAGCCAGGGCTTTGTCAAGCTGGGCCTTAAAAACCTCTAAGGATGGAGATTCCACCACCTCCCTAGGGAACCCATTCCAGTGCTTCACCACCTTTCTAGTGAAATAGTGTTTCCTAACATCCAAACTAGACCTCCTCCACTGCAACTTGAGACCATTGCTTCCTGCTCTGTCATCTGCCACCACAGAGAACAGCCTAGCTCCATCCTCTTTGGAACCCCCCTTCAGGTAGTTCTCCCCTCACTCTTCTCTTCTGCAGACTAAACAAGCCCAGTTCCCTCAGCCTCTCCTCATAAGTCATGTGCCCCAGCCCCCTGACCATTTTCGTTGCCCTCCGCTGGACTCTCTCCAATTTGTCTACATCCCTTCTGTAGTGGGAGGGACCAAAACTGGACGCAATACTCCAGGTGTGGCCTCACCAGTGTTGAATAGAGTCAAGATATATCACATCCACCGCTTTCCCCATATTCAGAGTCAGTTATCTCATCATAGAAGGCAATCAGGTTGGTCAGGCATGACTTGCCCTTGGTGAATCCATGTTGACTGTTCCTGATCACCTTCCTCTCCTCCAAGTGCTTCAAAATGGATTCCCTGTATACCTGCTCCATGATTGTGCCGGGGACTGAAGTGAGGCTGACCGGTCTGTAGTTCCCCGGGTTCTCTTTCTTCCCTTTTTTAAATATGGGCACTATATTTGCCTTTTTCCAATTGTCCGGGATCTCCCCCGATTGCCATGAATTTTCAAAGATAATGGCCAATGGCTCTGCAATCACATCAGCCAACTCCCCCAGCACCCTTGGATGCATTAGATGTGGACCCATGGATTTGTGCACGTCCAGCTTTTCTAAATAGTCCTTAACCAGTTCTTTCACTACTGAGGGGTGCTCACCTCCTCCCCATACTGTGTTGCCCAGTGCAGTAGTCTGGGAGCTGACCTTGTCTGTGAAGACCGAGGCAAAAAAAGCATTGAGTACTTCAGCTGTTTCCACATCATCTGTCACTATGTTGTCTCCCTCATTCAGTAAGGGTCCCACACTTTCCCTGACCACCTTCTTGTTGCTAACATACCTGTAGAAACCCTTCTTATTACCCTTCACATCCCTTGCTAGCTGCAATTCCAGTTCTGCCTTGGCCTTCTTGATTACACCCCTGCATGCTCTATCAATATTTTTATACTCCTGCCTAGTCATCTGTCCAAGTTTCCACTTCTTGTAAGCTTCCTTTCTGAGTTTAAGCTCACCGAAGATTTCACTGTTAAGCCAAGCTGGTCGCCTGCCGTATTTGCTATTCTTTCTGCACTTCGGGATTGTTTGTTCCTGAGCCCTTAATAAGGCTTCTTTAAAATACAGCCAGCTTTCCTGAACTCCTTCCCCTCTCATATTAGCTTCCCAGGGGATCCTGCCCATCAGTTCCCTGAGGGAGTCAAAGTCTGCTTGTCTGAAGTCCAGGGTCCGTATTTTGCTACTCTCCTTTCTTCCTTTTGTCAGGATCCTGAACTCAACCATCTCATGGTCTCTGCTGCCTAGGTTGCCACCCACTTCTACTTCCCCTACCAATTCTTCCCTGTTTGTAAGCAGCAGGTCAAGAGGAGCACGGCCCCTAGTTGGTTCCTTCAGCACTTGTACCAGGAAGCTGTCCCCAACACTCTCCAAAAACTTCCTGGATTGTCTGTGTACTGCTGTATTAAAGTACTTCTGGGCTCAAAACAGTCACTGTCCTCTGACCAGATGATCAGGAAAAGCCTATGATGCTATATGTAAGTTAACAAATAACTTCTAATGGTTATTTGTGATCAGGTTAGCAAGAGTGCATCTGGAGAATATGAAGAAAATTAACACATTTGATTGAACTGTGTAAACAGCCAGAATCAGAATTGGAGATTGCTGATCTTCTCATTTCCTGCCCTAGCTCTGCTGTGTATTGTTTAAACAGCTGCTGTATTTCACACCAGAGAGGAGTGCATATCAGTGAGAGTTAAATGAATTATTAATAGGTTAAGATTCTGCAAAGAATGGATGATAAACAGAGAAAAGTTTAAGGAGCCTTTTCTACCCATTCTATGCAAAATGCATTACACAGGAATATCTAGAGGCATCCTCCAGCTGGGTGTGGCACTGCCAGTGCCATATGCCCACTATCTGCTAATACTTAATGGGGCTTGGGTATGGTAGGGAGAAAAAGAGGGCATGGCGCACATACAGTATGTACTCTGAGGCATTACAAAAGCTATCCATCTTCACACTCCACTTAGTGCTCTACTGCAGTGGTTCTCAAACTGTGGGCCACAGCCCAAACGTGGTCCGCGACACAGTCCCAGGTGGTCCGCCCTGGGCGGAGTTGGAGGCCGCCCAGCCAGCAGCTGACATTTTCCAGCCGCCGTGGTCAAGAGGTAAGGAATGGGGCAGATCTAGGATGCGAGGACATGGAAGGGAGCACAGGGCAAAGGGGGGAGGGGAGGAAGAACAGTGGGGGCAAGGAGGGAAGCCCAGGGAGGCAGCGAGGTCCAGAGGTGCCAAAATACAAGTTCGCCCAGGGCACCATTTTCCCTAAGGCCAGCCCTGGGTGCCTGTGCGGCATGCTAGGGTGCTGGGTGGATGACTGGGGCAGGGCTGCCAGGTGACAAGCTCAAGGCACTCGGCGGGCTGCTGAGGTGGAGGGTGTCGGCGGGAGCTGGCTGTAGCACCTGCCTGGCCCCTCTGCCCTCTTGATGGCCCTGGTCCCTGCTGAGGTGAGGGGCCCACACACGCCTCGCAGGACCCCTCTCTCCCTGACAGATGCATGTTAATAGTGGGCTGTAGTGCCTATTTCAGCTGCACAGGTGAGCCTCAGGTAAAAAAGTCTGGGAATCCCTGCTCTAGAGAAGTGAGTGCAAAATATGAGCCAACATCTAATTCCTTCAACTTACATTGCTTTCAAACACTTTACTGTAAAAACAGGTCTACTTCCTCCCCTTCAAATGCTGTTCAGTTAGAGCAAGGGCAAAGTGCCAGCCAGCGAGAACAAGATAACGCATCTGCCTTCACTTCCCCTATGTAGAGGCAATGGTGTTGGATGATACAGCTCTAAAGCATCTTTAGACTCCTGTCCGATCATAAGCTTTTCTATTATGGCAGGACTTTTCAACCTTTTACTTCCTACAACTCTATAAACAATTCGACTACTTTGCCTATCTCCCATCCATTAAGGCTTTCACAACCAGTTTCCCTCAAATATGCCCAGAATCCTTTGCATCAGTTCCTTTGTCACTACAGAAGTCAACACATGGGTTTTTCTGGCATCTCAAGAAGAAAACGTGCAAGTGGCTAAGCAAGAAAGCAGTTGCACAGACAGGGAAGAAGAACAGATCTGTGACCACCTTCAAGATCCTGACCCACAGACTGAGAGCCCTTGCACTAGCAAAACTCAATGGACGATGTGAATTAACACGAAAGTATGAATCCTGCCATATCCCATAAAATCCGCATTTCTGTGAAAGTGATCTCCAACGGAGGACTTGCCTCATTTCCATGTGCCAACGTTGCTCTTCCTCTCTGCGTCTCTTTATCATATCCTTCTGTTTCTGCTTTTTCATCTTCTCCTCGTGCATTTTCCGAGCTCGGTTACTGGGCTTGATCTCAACTGGTAGATCTGGGTTTACTTTCTTCTACAAGGAAGTTACAACACATTTTAGACAATCTTAAAAGCATTACCACAAAGCTAGTAGAGTATCAATATTTAAAAAAAGTCTACTACTGTAGTCCCATAATTAAAGTGTTACTAATAAACCTGACATTACACTTGGGTTTTTAGATACTGTTTGATGGCATGTTGTATAAGGATCATTTGTACCATTTCTTAATTAAGAGAAATAGCCATGGGGAGGCGTACACACACTTAAACCCCTACCGCCAGAACAAGGAAGCCTCTTTGTAAACGATTCCAGCTCCCAGCATCAATTGCTAAAAAGACCTATCCAAAACAGATTTAAGACAGAGGGTAAAACCCAAGAGCAACTTTTAAAAACGTTGATGTCTAAAATTAAACACCTAAATAAAAGTGGCCTGACTTTCAGAGATGAGCATCCGCAACTCCCAATGAAGTAAACTGGAGTTTATGGGTACTCAGCACCACTGAAATCAGGCCCAAGATGTCTTAAATAGGGAGCCCAAAATGGAAATACTCAGGTTTGAAAATCTGGGACCAAGTCTCCAGCTTCACATAAACCCAAGCTTTGAACCTGAGATGTTTCAAAAGCGATATTCAAAGGCCTAACCCAGGGATAATATTAAGTACATTTCAATGTTCTGAGAATAATTCTTCTAATCTGACTTCATATTAATGCAGCCTCATTGAAATTAGAAATACACCTCTACCCCGATATAACACAAATTCGGATATAATGCGGTAAAGCAGTGCTCCGGGGGAGGGGGGGCTGTGCACTCCGGCAGATCAAAGCAAGTTGGATATAACGCGGTTTCACCTATAACGCGGTAAAATTTTTTGGCTCCCGAGGACAGCGTTATATAGGGGTAGAGGTGTATCTGCTTGAATATGGGACATGAGTTCTTTATTTTCTGCTGTTTCTTATCTTAAATCAATGCTGTTTGCAACATTTCCACAGCAACCAAATGTTTGTGATGTTGCATTTGCTGGTAGTGGAAGAGATGCTACAAACAAAAGTGACAGGTTTCAGAGTGGTAGCTGTGTTAGTCTGTATCAGCAAAAAGAACAGGTGTACTTGTGGCACCTTAGAGACTAACAAATTTATTTGAGTATAAGCTTTCGTGGGCTAAAACCCACTTCATCGGATGCATGCATGCTTATGCGCAAATGAAAGTAGTCATTTCAGTCGAAGAACAAGTAGCAGGAACAGGTGAACACTTAGCAAACAGAACTCATGTTCTCATCTAAAGGGCCTTGACTGATTAAAGCATGAGCAACTGAAAATAGAGAAAAAAAAATGTGGATAGGCAACCAGAACGTTTTTTCATCTCAGAGCTTTTTAAAGTCTTGCTAATAGTCAATGTAAATGAGCAATCTGCTCGTTACTTTTGAATGAAAAGGCAAAATATTTTTACTCTCTGTAGGCTTCAAAATGTTGGTAAGAGAAGAATTGGCCAGTTCTGGACTTAACCAATGGCACGACTTCAAAACAATTTCTGTTTGTTGGAATGGACAATTTGGGGGTGATAATGATCTAAAGAGCCTAAAACTTGCTTCCAAGAAATGTTATTTCAACAGGAGTTGGAACAGGCCCAGATGACAAAATATACTCCATGTACTGATTGGTCAATAGTCAAATATGCTTTGCCATTGAAAGAGACCAACTGAAGATAGCCTAAGGAGGTTTTAACCTAAGAATTTTAAAATATGCTTTTTAGGTCCCTCTGTTCTGGATTTAAGTGGTGTTTACCACCCCCAACATATTGTAACATATAGCGCTTGCAAAGCTTGTAAAATGCTGTGTGTTCGCTAAAAATACTCCTAAAACAGAGCTGTGCCATCAGTGCTTAAGTGCAATGTTAAGGTCAACCAATGCAAGAAAGAAGTTAAAATGGTGAAGATGAATCCTGATATAAGGAACTCAGACCCACCAAATGACTTAAGCCTATAAACAATGACTGTATTCACTGACACTTGAATTGCCAAAGTCAAATTGAGTTTGATGGATTCAATTCTTTGTGGTCTGTGCAACAACTTTGGCTTCACATTAATAATTCCAATAACTGATTTGTCATTAAACACAATAAATCAATCCCAGGCATGTCCACTGGTTCATGGTTAATTTGTACTATAACATCACTCCCTGGATTACAGTGCAGGATGGTTAAGTAGAGGTGGGATAGTCTTCTACAGTTACTCCATTTCATGAAATACCAATCAAGGTCACCATCTACTGGCCACTTACTTACAACTTCAAGCACTTTAGTATAGCAATCCACTGTCGTCTTTGGAACAGAAGGCACCGATTGTTAGAAAGTCAGCCTTACCAAAAGCTAATTCTTTTGTGACAACAGGTTTGGGAAGAGCTGCTACCAACAATGGACTGAGCATGCGGAAACTTGACTCAATGCCATAATATTAATAATGGGACAAAAAACCCCACCACACTCAACATACATTTGCTTTTGATACATTCCTTTTGACATTAAATGGCTGTTTCTGAATAAAATTTGCTCCTTCCATGGAAACCAGATTCTGCTGGGTTTGTTTAAATGAATAAGAATAATGGGTGACTGTGGCCTTGGCAGTAACATGAAGCTTGCAAAGTGACTGCTATTCACTAAAGGAGGAGGGAACAGTCGAGAGCAACAGCCCATTTGCAATACCTCCTGCTGGGATGAGCAAGCATGGAGAGTATAAGTAGCCTTGTCATTTAATATCATGGGAGTAAATGGCTGAGATGGAAATTCAGCAGTTAGTCTCTGAATAAGTATCTTTAACTACTGATTTTAAAGTTGCCTTCAGTGACCACAAGATCTTTCCCTCTCCTCCCTGGAAGAGAGTATCACTAAGCACCTTCATATATGTCCAAATAGCTATGCAAGACTAATTTTGCTATTGACCAATCCATTTTGAATTAGTGCTGGGAAGCTGCAAATTGTTGGCCACACTGCTTCAGGTGCCTGAACTGCAATATTCCTTGTAAAAGTATGTCTAATTGGTTTACTGCCCCACTTAAAGGCAGAAAGAGAAGACACTCATTCCAGACAATTGCTCTGAGGGAGAGAGATGGTATGGCTACTCTCTTCAAGAAACTATTAGCCATAGGGAAGGGAGAGGGATCAGGAATTAGTTCTATTGGATAATTCTCAGAAATTTTTGTATAACTATTTACTAATTGGAAAAAAAAAAAAGCATTAGGAATCGTCTTTTCTAGAGTTAACATATTCCAGCAGGATGTCTGAGAACAGGCTGAATTGGTAATTTAACTTGACTTCATACAATATTATTTTATTCCTTTAGAAAGCAAGAATTTCATCCAGATGAAATACAAAACAAATGGTCAAAGTTATGTTTTGAAAATCTCCATTCAGACATGCAAGATTTAGTTTCATTTTACACTCGTTTTGAAACAGAGGGTAGGTCTACACTTACCTCCGGGTCCGGCGGTAAGCAATCGATCTTCTGGGATCGATTTATCGCGTCTTGTCTAGACACGATAAATCAATCCTGGAAGTGCTCGCCGTCGACGCCGGTACTCCAGCTCGGCGAGAGGAGTACGCGGCATCGACGGGGGAGCCTGTCTGCCGCGTCTGGGCCCGCGCGGTAAGTTCGAACTAAGGTACTTCGACGTCAGCTACGTTATTAACGTAGCTGAAGTTGCGTACCTTAGTTCGAAGTGGGGGGTTAGTGTGGACGGGGCCTTAGACTTACTATTTGTTAAGTGCTAACAAGATGCTGGAAAACATTTATTTCCTACAACAAAATCTACTCAGATCAGTTACCACCTTCATTAAGTTATCTGCACTGAACATCCATCTATGGTAGTTTCCTTTATATTTTTATGAAAAGAAGATTAAAGTTTTCAGTCAGAGATGCTAAATATAGTAAGAGCTGAGAATCTGGAAGTGGACAATTCTTGGTGGAAAAAATGTTTGCAAGAAATTTTTCTGGACTCATTCCATTTGCTTTTACATCTGATAGAATCCTTCTTATATTTAGAAAAAGCTTTTTACAAAATAAGCTACTGATTTCTCCCCCTTCTTCTATTTTAGGAGTCGAGAGTGAAGCCACTACCATCCAAGTCCCTTTGTACAGCACCACGACAGGACGTCCCCATTCACACCTTGTACTGGAGCCGATGCCTACGCCCCTTCAGGTGCATATCCTTGGCATTAGGATCATTGAAACTGCACTCGCAGAGCTTACAGTGAAACCGGATCATTTTTCCTTCATCATTGCAAACCTGAGATAAAATATGTAATTTAATATTTATAGGCACTTTTTGTGGCAACAAAATTATCTTGCATTTAAGAAGAGCCTTACATCCCAGTGGAGCCTAAGGCACTTTACAAACTTAAAGGTATATGCATTTATCCATTACTAAAATTCAGTCAACTCTTGGGTGAGACGCAGCATCTATTTAATAGCTCACAGTGACACTGCATAGCTGTTTAGGACTGGAAGAGAAGATACAATGTCCAATTTAAACTGTACAAGAAATTTAGGGAGGCCCAGAATAAGCCCATGTATAAAGAAATGTAACCTGAACATTAGGATTAACACTTATGAAAAGCACCATGACAACTTTCATGAACACACATGGTCAGGATCTCAGATTTATGGCTCATCTGAAATGTGGGCTCTCCAGCTGCACAACACACCTTAGCACCATGTTAGGATTTTAGTGCAGTAATGACTCAAAGTAAAGAGCATCATCTACTGAATCAGGACTACCACCACCACATCTTGCAGCACCAAGATGTTCCCAATCTTCGTTAGCTCATGATTCTCAACCATGTAACAGCTCACGGTGGCATGGCTCCAGGCATAAATGATTCTTAAACTTTAAAAACTGTTTGCTGTTCATCTCCTATTTGTTTATAATCTTACCAAGGATGGGAAACAGGACAACACTGAAGTAAACAAAATTTCACTGGAAGTGATACAGATGAAATTTAATCTTGATTTCCAATCCAATTCTACAGAACTGGGGATTCAAGAGCAAGGGAACATTTTAAAGACTAATTAAAACATTAACAGTTTTACATAACCAAATAATTTTGATACTTGGCACAGCCTCATGAACTGTATGTAGGCAGGGCAGAGACAAAGTTCTCAAACAAGGGCTCCTTAGTAGGCTGTCTAAATCCTGCATTTGGGTGCTCAAATGTAGATGTGAAAATTGGGCCACAGTAATTCAACAGCAGATGAAATGGAGGGCACAGAATGAAGCCAGCAGCTAGATCAGGGGTCAGCAACTTCCGGCATGCTGCCCCCATCAGGGTAATCCGCTGGCGGGCCATGAGACATTTTGTTTACGTTGACCGTCCACAGGCACGGCCCCCTCGCAGCTCCCAGTGGCCGCAGGGAACAGCGAACTGTGGCCACTGGGAGCTGCGGGGGGCCGTGCCTGTGGACGGTCAACGTAAACAAAATGTCTCGCAGCCCGCCAGCAGATTATCCTGATGGGTCGCGTGCTGAAGGTTGCCGACCACTGAGCTAGATGATTTTTCTCAGGGTGCTCAGTGTTGAATATACATAAATATGGTCCTACCAAATTCACGACCCATTTTGGTCAATATCAGAGTCATAGGGTTTTAAAAATCATAAATTTCATGATATCAGCTATTTAAATCTGAAATTTCACCGTGTTGTAATTGTAGGGGGTCCTGACCCCAAAAGGAGTTGGGGGGGAAGGGAGGAGGCTACTGTAGAAGGGAGTTGCGGTACTGCTACTCTTACCACTGCACTGCTGCTGCCTGCAGAGCTGGGCCCTCAGCCGCCACTGTCCGACCGCCCAGCTCTGAAGGCAGCAGCGTAGGAGTCAAGGTGGCAATACCATACCGTGCCATCCTTACTTCTGCGCTGCTGCTGGTGGCGACTCTGCATTCAGAGCTGGCTCCCGGCTGCAGCCACTGCTCTCCGGCTGCCCAGCTCTGAATTCAGCATACAAGTAAAACGTGGCAATACCGCAACCCCCCTAAAATAACCTTGTGATCCCCCTGCAACTCCCTTTTGGGTCAGGACCCCAATTTAAAAAACGCAGGTCTCCCCAGTGAAATCTAGTAGTAGGGCAGCATTTCTCAAACTGGGATCCGCATGGGCACTCCAGGGGGTCTGTGGGCCCCGATGATCAACTGCTCCCACTCCCAGCGCCTCCTGCATGCCACAGAACAATTGTTCCCCGGTGTGCAGGAAGCACGGGGGGGGGGGGGGGGGGGGCGGGGGGGGGGCGGGGGGGGGGAAAGGGGGGGCAGAGGTGAGGCCTTGGAGGAAGGGGTGGAGTGGGGGCGGGAGCCTGGGGTTGAGCAGTGGGCTTGGAGGGGTCCGTGAAAAATCAAAATGGGGGTCCTTGGGTCGCTAAGGTTTGAGAACTGCTGGTATAGGGTAAAAGCACACAAAAGACCAGATTGCACCGGTGGGAGGGGGGGAGGAGGAGACCAGATATCATGGTCTGTGACACGTTTTTTATGGCCATGAATTTGGTAGGGCCCTTGTACATGCTTTAAGTATATTTGAACTTCAAAACCTGACATTATACAGCTGTACTTGTGAGTGATTTGTGAAAAAAAGTGATCAAGCATTACCTCTTCCACATAGTCATGTCCCACAGGTTGTACGTCAAATAAACCCCCTGGGCCATCCCCAGAGCCATCATGCGTGGACTGTTCATTTTGTAGCTCTGATTTTGGTTGCATCACCTTCACTTCCTCCAATTTGATGCTTGTTGCCTGAAGTTTATTAGTCCCTGAATAGAGAGAGCTGGATTAATAACCAACCTGATTTCTTACAATCTGTGAAAGTATCCTTATCCTCATTATCAGCACCTGTATTACAAATCCATCATGTCATTGTTAATTTCTCTTTATAATGCCAAATGACATATCCCTCGGCTAGTCCTGTAGTCATTATGGCAGCTGCCAAAAATATAGCTGGATAAGGGTTTATGGCTCCACTATACAATTTCTATGACACCAAAAAAACACATATCTCCCAATACTTCTGTTAGTCTCAAAGGTGCCACAGGACCCTCTGTTGCTTTTTACATATCTATAGTAATAATTAAAAGTTAGACATGGATAGTCAAGTGGAAGTTTTTCTTATCAGCCTTCCATTCAGACTACAAGTCTTCACTCTCTTATGACCAATAGTTAAGTTTAAAACAAACATCATCTACTATGAATGAGCAGACTAGACTACTATAAAGATAAGGAACTTCTTGTAATAGTAGCAATTGTTTTGAAAGAGAACAAGTGACACACCTGAACTTCAATAACTACAGTTCTTAAAGGTTAAGTTAAATATATAAAAATTTAAAGAGGCAAAGGCTCAATGGTGAGATATAAAAAAAATCAGTTTAATGTCAAGATTAAAAAGTATTTCTACAGATTTCAACAACATATAATCGCCAGTGTTTGATATTCTGCTAAAATACTACAGCCAGGCAATGCAACTTTCAGACAGAAGCCCTCCCTCTATTTCCTCATAGCAGGATTCAAAAGAAAAAAATAAGCAAATATGGAAGCCATCAGATTTGTACAGAAACACACAAAAATCCCTGTTCTGTTTCTGGAACACTTTTGGAGGCAGAGGGAGAAGATGAAAGCAGTTTTAGATTTTAGAAGCCAAGGGGTTAAAAAATAAAAAACCTTTTTCAGAGTCATTTAAGGAGCTTGATGTACAATTACTTTTCCTTGGGTCAGTTTTCCTGGATAATGATGGGAACATGAAAAGGCCCCACCTGCAAGCATTTGGAAGAATCATACATTTTAAACAAATTGTCATTCCTATAGGAGGTGACGGATTTTAGACAATACATAAAAAATAAGACAGTTAAAAATGGATTTTAAGGAGACATACCTGAAAATGTTATCTTGGATGCAACAGGTTTCTTCACTGGCACTGGCTTGCTTATGTTGCTTGCACTGTTAGTTGCTACAGCTGCTGGTTTTGTTGGTGTAACAGATGTAGCTGTCGAGGCATGGGCAGCTGGCTTACTTGCTGCAGCGATGGTAGGACCTGAACCAGAGTTCACTACTACAGGCTCTACTGAAGGGATGGGCTTCCCCAATTTAGTATGCAATTTAACAACCTGAAATACATGCAGTGGTCATATGAAAGAGCAGGAGTAAAAAGGGACCGAAGTTAACAGCAATACTATAAAACTTTTCCTTGTGAAGTGTATAAATTTACAGAAAGACCGGGGTAATCTCCACACCCAATAAAAATATACAATAAAACAAAGTGATACTACAAACACACATGAGATGAATTGCTCCATTGTAATATTATATTTATAACAGATCTACAATTTTGTAGGAGGTCCTGAAAGACAGAGCAGTACTCCGTAGCAAAATATTTGAAAAGTGTTAAACTATTTTCCCACCAGGTGGCATGCACGCCTATAGAATGGCAGAGCATAACAGACATTAGTGCCTCAACTGCCAGGTCTTCTCTGAACAGATTACAGAACTTGCAAGTGATCAGGGAGAACTGTTGCTGGGAAATGTCTCAGTGTAGAGACTTTAACAAGAAACTTTCAAAGAATGAAAAACAATCTCTCCCCCTCTTCCCAGCTGAATCAAAACTAGAAAACAGGTATCTTCAAAAGAGGAAAAACAAATTGCATTAAGCATGAGTTGCACCAAAAAGCCTGTCACCATTCCTAGGGAGGGTGAGAAAGAAGAAAGAGAAGATGAAATACATCCGGGTTCTCATAAATTTTTTTTGGTGGCCTCAGAGTGCGGCCACCAACTCTTGCTGGTGGCCTCTCTCACACTTTTTCCTAAAATACTTACTTAAGCTTTAGGAAAAACAAATAAATATGCACATAGACATGTCCAAATCATTGTAATTTATTTATTGCTAGCTAGTAAGTCCATTGTGAAAAGTGATATTAACATACAAGTATCACTTTTCACAGCAGACTTACTCAACCCTGGCAAGCCCAGGGGCAAATTAAGCCCTGGATAGGGGGCCAGGGGAGGCAGTGGGGGGCTAGAGCCTGAAGCCCTGCCGCCGGAGCCTGGGGCCTGCTGCCACGCAGCCAGAGCCCGAAGCCCCGAGGCCAGAGCTTGCCACCCAAGGGCTGAGTCCCAAAGCCTGAGCCCCACCATCCCTGGGAAGGTGGGGACTCACTGGGTGTCTGCTCCTCCAGTGTTGTGCCCAGGTGTCTCCAGAGGTGGGCAGGGCCCAACCCCTGCTGGCGGCCCCAACAATTAACACCAAGGTGGGGCGCCCAGGAGCAACAGCGTGGGGGCACTACTTTGCCCCCCTAACCCTGCCCAGGAGGCTGTGGAGATTCCAGAGGACTGGAAAAGGGCAAATACAGTGCCAATCTATAAAAAGGGAAATAAGGTAAACAGTGAGGTGGCAAAATTTGCAGATGATACAAAACTACTCAAGATAGTTAAGTCCCAGGCAGACTGCGAAGAGCTACAAAAGGATCTCTCAAAACTGGGTGACTGGGCAACAAAGTGGCAGATGAAATTCAGTGTTGATAAATGCAAAGTAATGCACATTGGAAAACAATCTCGACTATACATACAAAATGATGGGGTCTAAATTAGCTGTTACGACTCAAGAAAGATCTTGGGGTCATTGTGGATAGTTCTCTGAAAACATCCACTCAACGTGCAGCGGCAGTCAAAAAAGCAAACAGAATGTTGGGAATCATTAAGAAAGGGATAGATAATAAGACAGAAAATATTATATTGCCTCTATATAAATCCATGGTACGGCCATATCTTGAATACTGCGTGCAGATGTGGTCGTCCCATCTCAAAAAATAAATATATATTGGAATTGGAAAAGGTTCAGAAAAGGGCTACAAAAATGATTGGGGGTATGGAACTGCTGCCATATGAGGAGAGATTAATAAGACTGGGACTTTTCAGCTTGGAAAAGAGATGACCAAGGGGGGATATGATTGAGGTCTATAAAATCATGACTGGTGTGGAGAAAGTAAATAAGGAAGTGTATTTACTCCTTCTCAGAACACAAGAACTAGGGGGTCACCAAATGAAATTAATAGGCAGCAGGTTTAAAACAAATAAAAGACAGAATTTCTTCACATAACACACAGTCAACCCGTGGAACTCTTTGCCAGAGGATGTTGTGAAGGCCAAGACCATAACAGGGTTCAAAAAAGAACTAGATAAATTAATGGAGGATAGGTCCATCAATGGCTATTAGCCAGGATGGGCAGGGATGGTGTCCCTAGCCTCTGTTTGCCAGAGGCTGGAAATGAGCGACAGGGAATGGATCACTTCATCATTTGTTCTGTTCATTCCCTCTGGGGCAACTGTCTTCCGACAGTGGCCAGTGCCAGTATACTGGGCTAGATGGACTTTTGGTCTGACCCAGTATAGCCGTTTTTATGTTCTTAAGGACAGCACAGGGGAATTATAGACCAGTCAGTTTAACTTCAATACCCTGGAAGGATAATGGAGCAAATAATTAAGCAATCAATTTGCAAACACCTAGAAAATAAGATGATAAACAACAATCAACATGGATTTGTCAAGAACAAATCGTGCCAAACCAACCTAATAGCTTTCTTTGACTAGGTAACAAGCCTTGTGGATGGGGGGAAGCAGCAGATGTGGTAATATCTTGATTTTAGTAAGGCTTTTGATACGTTCTTGCACGAGCTTCTCTCAAACAAACTTGGGAAATACGACCTATGTAGAGCTACGATAAGGTGGGTGCATAACTGGTTGGATAACCGTTCCCAAAGAGTAGTTATCAGTGGTTCGCAGGCAAGCTGGAAGGGCATATCAAGTGGGATCCTGCAGGGATCAGTTCTGGGTCTGGTTCTGTTCAATATCTTCATCAATGATTTAGATAATGGCACAGAGAGTACACTTATAAAGTCTGTGGACAATACAAATCTGGAAGGGGTTGCAAGTGCTTTTTAGAATAGGATTAAAATTCAAAATGATCTGGACAAACTGGATAAATGGTCTGAAGAAAAGAAGATGAAATTCAATAAGGACAAATTCAAAGTACTCCACTTAGGAAAGAACTATTAGTTGCACACATACAAAATGGGAAGAGACTGTCTAGGAAGGAGTACTGCAGAAACAGATCTGGTTGTCATAGTGGACCACAAGCTAACTAGGAGTCAACAGTGCAACACTGTTGCAAAAAAGCAAACATCATTCTGAGATGTATTAGCAGGAGCGTTGTAAGCAAGACACGAGAAGTAATTCTTCCGCTCTACTCCGCGCTGATTAGATCTCAACTGGAGTAGTGTGTCCAGTTCTGGGCACCACATTTCAGGAAAGATGTGGACAAATTGGAGAAAGTTCAGAGAAGAGCAACTAAAATGATTAAAGGTCTAGAAAACGTGACCTATGAGGGAAGATTGAAAAAATTGGCTCTCTTTAGTCTGTGGAAGAGAAGACAGAGGGGACACGATAACAGTTTTCAAGTATAGAAAAGGTTGTTACAAGGAGGAGGGCGAAAAATTATTCTCCTTAACCTCTCAGGATAGGACAAGAAGCAAGCAGTTTAAACTGCATGCAGCAAGGGAGGTTTAGAATCATAGAAGGTTAGGGTTGGAAGAGACCTCAGGAGGTCATCTAGTCCAACCCCCTGTTTAGGTTGGACATTAGGAACAACTTCCTGTCAGGGCGGTTAAGTACTGGAAAAAATTGCCAAGGAAGGTTGTGAAATCTCCATAATTGGAGATTTTTAAGAGCAGGTTAGACAAACACCTGTCAGGGATGGTCGATAATACTTAGTCCTGCCATGAGTGCAGGGGACTGGACTAGATGACCTTGCAAGGTCCCTTCCAGTCCCATGGTTCTATGATAGCTGAATTTCTGGTATTACTGTACCAAGTACACTGCTTAGTGTTGAAGCAACGTGGTGCTGTAGTCTTTTGTGGTCAAGCAGTTTCTGGATAGCCAGTCATCTACTGCAATCAAATCTTGAAGTGTTGGATATATTTCTACTTCAACTTTTTTAATCAGAAATGTTCCCTGGATATCCGTGAGCTACTGTGAACATTTTTAGAAAACCAGCATCCTCTGTAATCAGATATTCCACACTATATGTCTGCGTGAAATGTCCATGGTCCTGTTGAGCTCTCATACCTTCTGATGCTTCGCTCCCCGGATATGTGCTGCATATGCATCTGCTCCTGTACAGGAGACATCACAGAGCTCGCATCGAAGCTGAGTCTGCACCCCACGAGGGCCACAGTTTGCCAGGTTACCTGTCTTCTGAGCTGCCTCCTTCTTTTTGTGCTTTTGTCCTTCCAAGTGCTCCCGGTAAGTCTGCAGTCAAACAGGGAAATACATTCTAAGCAGCAATGTGAAACACTGATATAATCCCAGCATTTCCTTGGAACCATTCATCTATAAAGACAGGTCATAATCTGTCTAGTTTTAAGGGTACAAATGTGTGCAACTCAAAGCCTTTTTGTGGAGTGTTCCATTCATTAACACCACTCACAGCAGCAGCATCTAGGAGGCATTCCCAGGCAGGTGAAGCAAACAGATTCTTATATATAGTGCTTTACTTCCTCCAGAAGACAATGTCCAACTACAAAACCCATTTAGGCTTAGATAACCACAATATTTACAGGACAATAGGAAGAATGGTTGAAGTATTTTTAATACCAGTTTTTAGAAGTGTCTGGCACATTTCATTATCACTATACAATGGGTAAACTGGTCTCTCTCAGAGGGAATTATTTTATTGATATTTGATTGGTCTTCTTGGTAGGAAGCAGACAGAGAATACATGTCACCATCAGAATTAAGAGACAACAGAGCTTATCATAATTATTATAAAGGTAACTAATATTCTTTTTTTTTTTTTTTTAAATATATGAGTTTAACAATGGCATTCCTACAAGATGGTCATGAAATGTTACCAGCCCAGGAACAAATCTACTCACCTGCCCTTTATCATCATCATGATAATGGGAGGTAGGGAAGTAGAACCCCAATATTTTACTTACTCACTAAAAAAAGAATTACAGTTTGACCCAGATGAATGGACAAACAGAATTTTGCAATGCTAGCTTTAAAGTAGTATTAAATACTATATTAGCCAATCTAAAAGAATTAGCTTCCTATACAAAACTCTAAAAAGCTCAGATTTTCTCATTCATTCCAATGGCAAGATGCATTTCCCATGGCTTGATTACAATTATTGATAATTATATTATCTATAATTAATTATTATTATAATCATGTTAAAATGGCAGCTCTCTTTAGTGGATTTAAGACTCTTTTAGACTAAGCATTTTGGAGCAGGGACAACTTCCTTTGTATTTATACAGCACCTAAAACATTGGGGCCCAATCCTGATTTAGGCAATGTTATGATAGAAATATTTAATAATTAGCTTCAATTTTATTCAATTAGAAGCAATGGACAGAATATTACTACTATAGTGCAGCGTCTCTAAGCTGTGTAAGAAATCCCCATGCTTTCAGAGCTGGACAGTCTGACTGTCGATACGCTACATTTTACTGTCACCATAAGAGAAGGACGCCACCACAGAAGTCTATATGGTATTTCTTAGGATTGCTCTTGTTGAAACCTTGTAGGACAGCTTATAAGAGACAATAATTTCTCTCCCGAATGACCCTGTCTGCTTCTTCAGTTAAATGCTATATGCTCTAGCTAAGCAGAGAATTCCAAGAACAAAGGCAGAAAAACACCACTTCAGATTTATATTCAAGCCTATTATACTTTTTTTTTTTTTTAACAGCACCCCAAGAATGCACTCGGTGTCTGACAGTAAACACACAAAAATAAGGCCCCTGCCTCAAGTAGCTAAATCTAAATTTGAGACAAGACACGAGTGAGAACAACAAACAGTGCAGAGGGACATTATGGCTTTAAAAAAAGTCAGGCATTTACACAGGAATATCTAATAAACACGTCTAATAAAATCCGTGTTTATAAAAACTTAAAACACTTTCTTGGTCAATAGCTTGTTCCAAATTTACTTTCCACTATATAGGTTTAAGCCTTAGAGAACCTGCTGGCTCATTATTAAATATCTTTCCTCACACCTTGACTGAGCTGTGGGGAAAGGAGCTAACCAACAGAGGGCAATGTTATCCAGTCCAGCATTCAGCCACTAGAAAGCTCCATAATGCCAAACAAACTGAAAAAGTACAAACTAAGGTCAGGGAGACTAGGCTGGCTGCCTACGAGCAGAGGTGCAGCAGGCAGGAGGCAGCAGCCTGGGAAACGGCTGTGGAAAGGCGGCCAGGCAGCCCAGGAGACAGGGTTAGGGACTGTTTTGATCTTTATTGGAACTGTCAATAGTAGTTGGGCCTAGGATAGTTTCACTGTTTATTTCTGGCAGTTGTAGCAAAATAATCCTGCATTAACTACTTAAAATCTGAGCGTTAATGAAAATCCACAGAAAGATAGAGTCTGTACAGTCTAGTTCTTGGAGAGCCTACAGCACTTGCCTCCAAACTCACAGTACATCGAGCAAACAACCAGACACTTAGATAAAGCTTGTGAACCACAACATTACATCCTGCAATAGTGGGGGATTGGTTATATCTATTTTCTGAGATGTTTCCATTAAGTCACTGAAGAGGACATATTGCAGATCAATAGGACATCATCTGCTGAACTATATGACTGGGGAGGAAGTGCAGGTTATATAGAGTGGACACATGGGTAAAGGGGATTGCTAACCTGTGGACCAGCACAGCTGATCTTGCAGATATCACAGTAGTGAAGCTGAGGCTGTTTAGGGGGCCCTTTGGGTTTCAGCTGTTTGTTTTGAAAAGGTGTTTTTTTGCTGAAGCTGTTGCTAGAGTTGGTGGTGGTGCTGTTCACTGTGCTGCTCCATGAAGAAGAGCTAGTAGATTTCGGTTGCTGTGGCGGGGGTGGCGGCTGCTGATGCTGGGCCTGGGGCTGCTGAGGTGGTTGATAGTAAGTGCTAGCTGCTGTGTATGCTGTGGCATCATAGCTGGAGTAATTTGACCCTAGCAGGCAGAAAGAAAAGGGAGCAATTTTATGAGGGTTATAGTCTAAACAAAGAGAATTACAGTGCAACACCTGCATGACAGCTACCTCCTTACCAGAGTATGATGCAGAAGTGGAGTTGTATGAAGAGGAGGGGGTGTACGAGGAGATGGAGGAGACAGATGCATTCTGCTGAACAGTTGTTACTGTTGGGTAGGCATTGTAGCTTGAAGATGTGGCGCTCACTGTTTGAACTGGCTTAATTGTAGTCACCTGTCTCTGTGGCTGGCTCTGACTATAAATACCACTAGATTGACTGTAGCCACCTTTGGAGCCTAGAAAGCAAACACACAAGCTCACCCTCTTGCAAAACTGAAGACAGATACATGTGCTTCTAAACTATTACAGTCATCTCTCTTTACTAATAATAGATATTTGTTAAACAAGACACTGGAAATGTATAGCAATTGGGTACAATTTATATGATGAGAGACTGCAAAACATATTAGCCTGGAAAGAAGTGAAAGATACAGATGAATAATCGATCAGTCCTTCCCTTTTCCATTCTTTCATAATAAAAAAGCATGAGGTCACTCAGATTAATAGCAGGCAATTTTAAAAACTACAGTAAATGAGGGGAGATTTTTTTTTTTCCTTACCTGTAAGTTTGGTTTCTCATAGTGGAACTCACAGCTGGGTAGGTTCCACCCACTCATCCCTGGAGATAGCTGGCTGATTTCAGGTGTAAAAGGGAGACTCCAATAACCAGTTGCAGGACAGGAGACACCCCTGAAGATCTATTCTCAAGCTTTCTTACAAATTGGTTAAAACTGGAAAGAGATATTTTTAATGCACCAAATAAGACACACTCTCTTCTTAAAACAGTAGATGATTATAAAAAGAATTCATACTTTAAAAACTAGACCTAGGAAGGGTTCCTCTGGATTGGTGGATGTCCCCACTATGAGAAACCAAAAATTTTCTTCTCTCATTCACAAGGACCATCCAGCTATCCAGAAGACTCACTGCTGGGATCTAGCAGGCAGAAAGGTAATGAATGTTGCCAGAAACAAGATAATTGCCAAAAGGAAGGCAGGGAACACCACATGCACTAGAATTTTTGTATTAAGCTCTTAAATATCAAACGCAACTTGTTGAACCCTATGGCTGAAGGCTGTATCCACTGACGTGAAACTTTCCAGTGTTGGATGAAAGAACACACAGACCATACAGTTGCCTTGCAAGTTTCCTGCTTCAAAGCACCATTGCTTTCTGTCCAGGAAGAGGAGCTCAGCCTTGTCGTGTGCATCATGAATCCTTTGAAAGAATCTTTACTAGGTGTGAGGTACCCTTGCTTCATTGCCAGTCTGATCCATATGAAAATTGTAGCCTTTGAGGTTTTCTTGCCTATCTTGTAGGTGCCTTATATGACAAGCAATGCATCTGACTTCTATGATTTGGCTCTACCCAAGTAATATTTTAGAGTGCTCCAAACATGTAAGGTATGCAGCAATTTCAATTGCAGCATGAATTGGTCTGGGACAAAAATGAATGAAAGGCAGTCTCTGAGATAGAAAGACAAATTACCTATGGGCACATTTGTAGCAGGTCTGAGAACCATTTTGTTTGGAAAAATATGCAGATACTGCTCGGATAGATAATGCTTCCAAACAGAGAAATTTGATCTGCTGAGACAGGATACATAAATAAGGCTGTTTTGAGGAATTGTATATAAAAAAAACCATTTGGATAAGGGTTTAGAGATGGCTTTGTTGTAGCTTGTAGAACTAAGATTAAATTCCAAATTTAAAATATATGACATATTCTTGGGAACAGATACAGCTTTTAAGGAATATGTCACATAATAATGGGGAGCATTACTGTTAACTTCCTTCCTGAAGACAGACATCTTAGTGCTGAAAGTGGAATAGACAGGAAAATAGGGCTTAAGCCTTACTTGAATCTGGCCCTAAGGAACTCTAATATGGCTGAACTGGAAGGTGCCAGAGGCTGTCTGTTTAACCCACACCCACTTGGCATGGTGCTCTGTCCCCCTCTAGTGGTAGCTAGGTTATATAGAGGTGGATAAGCCTAATACAGCCTTGGACATTAGCAGAATCTTTTTAACTCAAGCAGTAAAGTCTTGTGCAACAAGACCCAGACGTCCAGCTTCGATCCCTGCTTCCAATAACTCACACAGGAGAGTGGTGTTACACCTATAGTGCACAGTCTACACTAAATGAGAAAATATGTTCAATATACCTTGATAAGAGCAGAAGGTAAAGTTCTTCCTAGATAACTAATCTCAGATTCCAGCCTCAAAAGATCTGGACGGAGGAGAGAGGTTGGAAAGCTGGAGTGGTTCTCTGCATCCAGTAAAGAAACCAAAACCTTCAGGGCCAAAAAGTGACTTTAAGAACCATTCTTGCTTTGTCTAATTGACTTTTCCTGGCACCTTTGGTTAGGAGGTATACAGGAGTTGGCCATTCCATGAGATGAAGGTGGTGCCCATGTGGCAAGAGCCTCTCTGGTGCTTTGAGAAGATCTTAGTGGTCTTGTTTGTCTGAGAGACAGAGAGATCCAAGTGTGGAGCATCCCAGGCTTATATAAATTTCAGAACACAGTCTGGTCCAGCTCCCAGTACTCAAGGGACAGTCGATAAGTTAGCCAGATGGCTTGATGGTTTAACTTTTTTGATGGAAGTTGTTTTGATTGCTAGCTGCAATAGGTTTCATTTTTATGTCCTTTATTAACAACTTTTGGTACCTCCCTGTTGGTGCACATACCCATGGCTCTCCCTATTATCATTATCACTCTACTATAACTGGGCATTATTTTCAAGTAACAAACTGCTTTGAGTTTTAGACAGTTATGTTTAGGGTAGTCTCTCTTTTTGAACATTTGCAGTACGAGGGTTCACATCTCTCTTGGGCACCCCAACTTGACAGGCATTTTCATCATCTTAAACTGGTGTGGCTCTGAATGAGGTTTGCCTGCCAGGAACTTTCCCAAACACCAGAACTACCATTTTCACGGGAGTGTCAACACATGATCCAGTTCTGCCAGAGGAGAGCTTACAGAGGTCAGAGGTAAATAATTTCCCGTTAAGCAGTTTCTACAAAGGGACTAAGATTCTAGTCAGTTATGGTCCGTACCATCATTTTTGATGATCTGTGATAAAGCTGAATTAGACAAAACTACTACTGAAATTTGTCCATGGGTAAGACTACAGTGCTGAAGGATGAGAGATGGAAATCATTCTGTGAGGGAATTCCATGAGTTTTTGGGATAGATAGTAAAACCATACTGCCATAGAAGTTGTATTGAACTTGGTGAGTCTTACAAGCCTTTCTGCATTTTGAACTGTTTTGTTTATTGAGAGATTGTCAAGATAATGATAAATCTGTATCTCACAATTTGAACATTACAAATACCATGAGATTTGAGAAAATTGTGTGGATGGGAAAATGGAGATAGGCAACGATTGGCATCTTGTTTCTGGATTTAAAAAAGTTCCATTCAGAGTCTTGTTTTCCTAATTCAGAGGAGAGAGAGATTCAGCAAAAGCCTCTAGTTTGTTTTGACATCACAACTCTGGAACAGTTTCCTGAACATTGTTCTTCGAGAGGGACTGGAGCTACTGCTTTTAGTTTTCTAAGTTCTGAATGCATTGTTGCACTGCTAATTTTTTAGTTCAATTCGCGGGGAAGAAAAGGAGGAAAAAAAGGAGGAATTTGCTGAAACTATCAGATATCCTTCACTTATTACCTCTAGTCCCTATTTGTCTTGAGTTGTATCAACCTAGCCACCAAAACATCTTTAGGAATCCTCCAAAACAGTGAGAGGCCACGAGCTGGCACAGATTAAAGAGACTCCGAGAAGCCCTGTTCCTGAAAGGATCCCGGGACATCCTCATTGAGGGACTGCATATGTATTTCCCATGTCTGAAGGCATGAAGAAAATTAAGAGCTGGTTATAAATACTGTAATGTCCATTCAGGTCAGTGGTCAGAGTTCATGCAAGAGGTCCAATATCCAGGAGATCCAATCCAAGGGAAATGTACAGTGTAGTAGCAGGTGGAGTCAGACAAGGCAAAAAGACAGGATGAGATGGGGGCAACAAGACAGAATCAAACAGGGTCCAAGTAGCAACTAATGGGAAATGGCTTGATGCTCCAGAAAGGAAGCAGGAAATTTATATATAGTAACCAACCAGAGTCAAAATCATGTGGCCAATCAGGAAGCAGAACCCTGGAAGCTGGCCCACCCAAGTCTGTGAATTCCCTGTTAATTGGATGAGTTGGTGTGGTGTGATGGCCAAGGCTGCTTTCCAAGAACCCAGTGGGCCTGGCTTCAAGACCAGGACTTGAGACCAGGCCCTAACAAATACAGTAGGTTGATATCAGGATTGACATCAGTATTTTAAAAAATGACTCCCAATGATCTTGCTGTTATGAAGAGATTGCTCAATTTTGAAGAGTTATTAAAGCTTTTTCTTTTTCTCAGGAACCTCTAAATAAAGATCAAATGAAGCTGGGTGAGATTTGAGCTAGCAGTCAAATCAATGGCCAGCGTTCTAACCTACAAATTTCTTCTTGCTATAGCATTGCAGAGAAGTGATCTGTCAGAAAAAAACTTGTCTCAGCAAGCATCATAACTCAACAAAAGCTCTTGGTTATTTTGGACAGATCTCTCAAAGCAAAGGTAGCTTTTTATCCACGACAGAGAATTCTTGAACAATACTATGCCAAGTAATTGAAGCTCGAGGCAACTCTTGCTCTTCACTTTAGCATTTTTTTAAATTTAGAGGCCTTAATAACCAGCAGTATGGATGGAGTCTTTTTCTAAAATTATGTGCCAGGACCAAGAAGTTGTAATCTGATAATGTGTTTTCCTAGAGCTTGTAGAGTTTAACATAAGCCTTGCTGAGGAACCTCTTGGCAGGTGAAGTCCTGAATCATGATTTTCTGAAGACACTAGTGAATACTGCATTACCCTTGGATTTCCTCATCTAGGGTGCATTTTTGAAACACAAGAATGCTTGGTCAGCATTATCTGCCCAGTGCAAGTTGTCTTCTTAAATGCAGTTCTATTCTGAAAAGTGGCTAAAAAATGTCATCATGCAGTTCCATGTTTATTGTGTCTCCAAATTTATCAAATTTATGCAGTTTAGAAATATTATTTCTTAACAGCCCTCCCTGCAAATTTTACATAGGCTAATAAAGTTGCATAGGTTTGAGAGCAGAATATGGCCTAATATATATATATATTACTGTCAATGCACAAAGGGAAAAAATAACCCAACTAGACATGCCAAGAGCCCAGGCTGAGTTTGC